TATTTGCAAGCATATTTTCTTACCTTTTAAAAAAGAAGAGATTTATTCAATGACTCCACTTTTATAAATAATCAAGTGTTATTATTCTTAAAGTATAAGTTCGGTGTTGCATGATCGTAATTTGGGCTTGATTAATTAATTGTATTTTTTATTCATTAATTAATTGTATGCTTTAAGTAGGATGAGGGAATTAGTGTTATGGTTATGCATGCTTTGAGTTGTTCTATTGGAGTTTTCTTTGGGTCTTGGACTCTAGATTCATCGTCTAGAGATTCGGAGAGAACGATCCTCCTCTCGAATTAAGGATCAATTGTATCTTGCTTAGTGTTTGCTTTTGCTTTGATTCCACTATTACAATCTATCGTTTTGGATTGATTTCATCAAGATTTTCGCATTATTTCCGCTGTTTTTATCAATTCTTGCTAGGGTTGCTTCCAAACTCAAGTATTTCCTATCAGAAAACAGTGAATTTCATGAATAATTGAAGGTGAACCAATCATAACCTTTTAACTTTTTGGAGATTTACAAATAATCTATCTTTAGACATTTGAAATCTAAGAATTGAGAACTTTAGAATTCATGAATTTAAACTCCTTGAAGTTGATATATTACTTCTCATATTGTAGGGCCTCGAAGTCTGTTGCATGTAGGCCAAATGATCATATTGGATCCATTATATATGGGGATATTGCCAAAATAAATCATAGCAAAACACCAATCAAAGTGTGAAGCACCTATTATTACCATTTTAAAGGTGCTCAAAGTATTATAAAGGCCAAAGGCATAACCATCCGCGCGTAAAGATTTTCATATCTTCCATTCATTACCTTTATGCATGCACATATGATGATATCCCCTGTGAAGGCCAATCTTAGAAAAGATTTGTGCTCCAATCATCATATTGATATGCCAGGGGGGCTCACCTTGTGAGGCTTAGGGGAGTTAATATTCACTATGTAAAGAAGAAATCATGAGAGAAATAATTAGAAAAGTTTATGTGTAAAGATGGCTGATTTGAATTTAAATTGGGGAGGAAATTAAGAAATATTTATTTAAGGAAAGAGGACTGATTTGAATTCAGATTTGGGAGGAAATTGTGAATGTTTTATTTAGGAAAAGAGAGCTGATATGAATTCAGATTTGAGAGGAAAATATGATTGTTTATTTAAGGGTAATTAAGTTGTTTTATTTTTATTAGGTGATTTATGTTTGTTGTAGTTTTCTTATGAGTTGTTCCTAGTGGCGTTTAAGATTTGAGGGAGAGCTGATCTACCTCTCAAATAGTATATCCCTTTTATCTTTCTTTTTTATTGAAAAGATAATAAAAAAATCAGCCTCTACCTTCGTATTCCTGCAGTTTCTACTTGTTTCTTTTGTTGTTTTTACTTTCAAGACTTATCAAATTGGTAGTAAAGCAAGGTTCTTGAGAGATGACAACAAAGATGGTGGATGCATTGAAAGACAGTGGAGCAAATCAAATATCGGATTGAGGAAAATTTCTCAACCATCAAAGAAATGTTTTCAACAATGGAAGGAAGGATTACAATCATGGAGAGATGATTGAGAGGGCTGGAGGAAAAGATGAGGAAGCTCATTGAGATGCAATCAAAACTCCACCGATAATTCCAATTGCTAACCCTAATCAAGATTTGACTAGGATTCCCTTGGCCGAATCGAAGTGAAAGTAGATCAGACGGGAGAAGTTCGACGATTATAGTTTCTTTCATCAAGGGCCACCTTCTAGGGCTTCGATAAGGGGCATAATAGGGCTTTCAGATGAGGGGACACCAATGAGGGAATTTTTTGGTAGAGGTGGTAGGGTGGCCGATTATTGTGGGAGGCATTTCGGGCAAGGGGAGTGGGCCATCGAATAAGGAGGGCGTTAAGACTCATCTCCTATGGCTCTGATAAGGGGCGGAACATGATTTTCGGATGGTGAGACAACTGGAAGGGAGTTTCGTGGTGAAGGTGGTGGGGTGGTCAACCAATATGAGAGGTCTTTTAGGCAAGGGGAGTGGACGACAAGAGGAGGGGGGTGGGCTAAACCATGGGGATCAGGTCATGTGACGTGGAGGAAAGAAAAGTGGGATTCCCACCCTCAATACATAGGAGGAATATGGAGGAATCACGACAACCATTACACTAGAGGAGGAAGAAACTATTGGGGTGATGACAATCCTAATGTGACAATCTTGGGGTCACTCATCCTGGTCTTGATGTGAAGCAAACTGAATATCTTTCGATTCTCAAGAATTTAGTTCGTATGATGGAAGAATGGATGTAGATCCACATGTTTTACCCATTCTTGGCAGTTCTAAGTATGGCGTATCATATTCATCTTCAATTTTAGGAGCTCCAAAGCGGAATAATGATGATCTCAACTATATTAAGGATTAAATGTTGCTTATGGCATAAGTTACCCACAATGTGTGATTATATATCAAGGAAAGGCCTTCATAGTTCTGTTGAAATAAAATACCAAGGGAGCATTATTCCACGTGGCCATCTAAATCTTGGAGTCGAAACAATTGCTGAACTACCTAGACAATTCATGACTTTTATGCAGTCCAGAGATACTAGAGAACTCTTTTACTGCTTCCATCGAGATGATGTCCCAACCGAGTCTGTTATGCATAAGTGCATCATACATTTTGTTCCCCTTAACAAAAATCTACCATTCTTAGCTTCTTGGGTTTATTTTTCAGAAGATACTTGTCAAGTGGAAGGATTTGCTGGAGCACGAAGCCACATGAGAATCTTACGAGCTGATCAGGAGATAGTTTCCATCCTTCCATCTTGAGGACAATGCACTTTTTTATGTGTGTGTAGGGGGGGTGGGGGTAAGTACTGATACACTAGAGGGGCCCAGCTTGTGCGGCCTAAGGGAGTTAATATTCACTATGTAAGGATGTTAAATCAGGGAAGAAATTAGTATGAAAGTTTATTTAGGGAAAGATGACTGATTTGAATTTAGATTGGGGAGAAAATGAGGAAATATTTATTTAAGGAAAGATGGCTGATTTGAATTCAGATTTGGGAGAAAATTAGGAAGGTTTTATTTAGTGAAAGATGATTGATTTGGATTCAGATTTAGGAGGGAAATATGATGGTTTATTTAAGGGTAATTAGTTTATTTTATTTTCATTAGGTAATTTTTGTTTGCTATAATTTTCTTAGGAGTTATTTCTAGCAACGTTTAGGGTTTGTGGGAGAGCTGATCTACCTCTCGAATAGTCTATCACTTGTATCTTTATTTTTTATTTAAGAGAAAATAAAAAATCAGCCATTATCTTCATATTCTTGCAGTTTCTACTTATTTCTTTTGTTATTTTTTACTTCCAAGATGTATTACATATCTAATATGTCATCAAGTCTAAAAATGGGGAACTTGTACTTGATGTTAATCCTATTGATGGTTTTACCATCAACTCATGCATTGGCTACCATACTTCTTAGGGGTAAGAAGTGCAAGAATAACACATGAAGAGAAGTTTTTTCTGATGAAGCACTATTATTGCGTATTATATGCTTACCTCTTCAGCTCATCCTGATTTATGGAGTTCATTTTATGATATGATAGATTGGGAAACTCACAATCTAAAAGGTATATCACATAATCTTTAACCTATGGGGGACGTGCCAATTGCTCAAATGAAGGCTCAATAGCTTTAGTGACAATCCTCTAAACTTCCATGGAACAAAGAAGGATGAGTTAAGTTGAAGGAGTATCTCTTTTAAGATAGCTTGCAGGATTCTTTTACTTTAGTCAGTAAAGTCTCCTTGGGCTTTGCAAGGTTTCAGGCAACTTTCTTATCCTTAACTTGAAGAGAGAGATTTTCAATCTGCCAAAGTGGGAGATATCACAATTATGTAACCATAGTCTTCCAAGCAACAAAAGGGAAACACTCATAAGGAGGACATCACACAAAATAAAGAGCTACACTGAGTGTTTGGAATGGCAATCTTATCAACCTAAGCAATTTTTTTATGGTTGGGGATGAGCCTCAACAATGAAATTCAACAAGATCAAGGTTACCTCAGAGATAGTGTTTTGTATTTGCTCCTATCAATGATGCGCATACAAAATTTGTCCTCATACTTAAAAATAAATGTTAACTATGGCTGAGCGCTTTGGCGCTTTGAGTTTACCTTCACTAGAGTGGAGGACAAAACTAAGTAGATAACAACCAAGTGAAGATCCTTTAATGCCCTCTTGGCATCATAAGCAGTGTCCCATGACTTGTATGTTGCAACCTCCTCAGAGTCAATTGATGGCTTATAATCATCTTCTCTTAGAGTATTATAGGGATATTATTAATATGACTCTTGGAAAGTATTGAATTCAATTGATATCCAAGTTTAGTAACTAAAAAATAACGATTTTAACATGGCTATGTGGCAAATGTAGGCATGAATGTTTTGAGAAATTATTACATTAGAGGTATAGTAGGATTAGCATATATTTGAATATAAAGGTTGTGAAACATAGATTTAGGAGATTTGGATACGAACAATGAAAGTTAGAAGATTAATTAATATGATGGTTCAATGAAATTAATGTTAAAAATTAAGAGGAAGAGAAAATTTGAATTGATAAAAATTCTGCAAAATATATTTACAAATTAAACTCATGCAACACTTTATATGAGTGGATTGATTCATGAAGCTAACATCAAATAGTTGAGATAATCATCATGATGGTGATGGTAGTTTTTTATGCTGCGCAACATACTCAACTGTGGTTCTTGACTGCCAAATTATGCATCTAGTGCATCTATTGAATGGCTGCCAGGTAATTTTTGGACATTCCTAACGATATATTTTACAAAGTACTCATTGATGTTAATATTCTCCCCTTCTAAAATTCTGATTCCTTTTCTGTATTTGGGTGGTGACATCAACTTGCATTATTTTCATTATTTTTGCTGTTGACATCTTTGGCAGAAGAGAGCTTTATTATACCACGAGGACTGGTTTTTTAAGTTCTTATTTTTTCTCAGGCTCTTACTTCTGGTGCTGTTAAAAAGGGGGGTCTGTATGCACTTGACGTTTCTACCCAATACAATTATAAGAACACCCTTGTTGATGTCAAAGTTGACACTGATTCTAATGTGAGTGTGATGCCTATCTTTTGTGTTCAATCTAACTTTCCTTCACAAATCTAATCTAAGGAGCCTCAGCTGTCATTTTACTTTGCTTTGATTCTGCATTTTACATAATCCCCCAGATCACAACTACATTTACGGTCTTGGAGGTTCTGCCATTTACGAAGACTATTGCTACATTGAAGCTACCAGACTACAACTCTGGAAAGGTAATGCATGTCATGAGTGATTTCCTTCATTGTTAACATTATAAACATATAGAAAATTTGTTAACTGCTCTCTTTTTGCAGCTGGAGGTTCAATATTTTCATGACCATGCTTCCTTGTCTTCTGTTGTGGCTTTGAAGCAAACTCCAGTGGTTGATCTTTCTGCTTCTTTTGGTGCCCACGGCATTGTTTTTGGTGCAGAAGCCGGTTTTGATACTTCTGCAGGAAATTTTACCAAGTACAATGCTGGAGTTGGCCTCAAAAAGCCCGAACATGATGTTTCTGTGATTTTGTAAGTGTTTTCAGTTATCTTTTTTGGTATTCTTGGGGGTTCTGGATAGGGTGTCAATTCGGGGTTAACGGTTCGGGTCAAACCCGAGTTGACCCGGGCGTAAATGGGTTGACCTGAACCCGACCCGGTTTTATAAATGGGTATGGATTTTCAACCCAGACCCGACCCGCATGGGTTACGGGACCCGACCCACAAATCCGATCAAGTTTCGTCGTCAATCCGAAATCCGAATCCGTCGTCGAGGTCAACCAGCTGCTCCGGTGCGACTCGCGGACCCGACCCATTTCACAAATGAGTTGACCCAAACCCGGATTTTTCTGGGTCGGATTTCAGGTCGCGTCAATTTTTGACACCCCTAGTTCTGGATCCTCTCATTTCAGTTATCTTCTTTGTTTTAAACTGCAAAAATCTTTGCTTGTGTCCATGAAAAAAGAGATTCATCTCGAGAAATCTGCTTCTAACATTACGATCTGTCTTGTTGATCTAGAGCTGATAAGGGCGACACACTGCGAGCATCATATGTTTATCACTTGGATGAGAAGCAGAAGAGTTCCGTTGTTGGGGAGATCAATAGAAGGTTTTCCACCAATGAAAACATCTTCACTGTTGGAGGAGCATATGCAGTAGATCCCCAGACAACTGTGAAGGCTAAACTGAACAACTCCGGGAAGCTCGCAGCCCTTCTACAACACGAGGTGAAGCCCAAATCAATCCTGACAATTTCCGGTGAGTTCGAAACCAAGGCTTTGGATAGGACTCCAAAGTTTGGCCTTGCACTGGCACTCAAGCCTTGATTGATCAACTGTTACCGTTGAAATTCAAAATTTCTCTTCAGTTTTTACTGATAAATAAAAAACATTCTCCACAATCTCCACAATCTGGTTGTATTTTGTATTAGTTTCGTAGGTATTCTGTGACCACTGATCTGTGTTATATTCTTCAAGGCATTTTTTGACCTGGCACAAGTTCGTTTGTGATGACCTTTTTCTGTTTTGTGCTGTGAAAATTCTCACATGCTGAGTTATTTATTCTCTCAGAGATTTTTTTATGTAAACCTTGCTATTCCTTCAGCATCTTTACCTGCTAGAGAATATTGGTGATTTCTAAGTTATTGTTGATTTTGGAATTCAGGATAAGATTTTCAAGCTCCTTGCTTCAATTTTCTACTTTATTGATGGCTTTGGCCTACTGGCTTTTATGATGATTGGTTTTTCTTTGTTATTTTAGGCTTCGTTACAGACAGTTTTTTACTATTTAAAATAATTTTTTAGTATAAAAATAAAAAATTTTATACTAAGAAGTTTGAAAAGGAAAAGAAAAAAAATATTGGGCAACCTAGCTAACATAATCTAATAGGTTTGCTCTTATCTATAATTGGAGAAAAAGGGATTATAAAATTGGGAGCACTTGCTTCATCTCTTTTAGTTGTAGTAGAGATTATGAGAGAAGTAGCAAAGTGATAATGATAGCAGATGAATGATGTCGGTCGAAGAATAATAGACAGACGATGATGATCGAACATTGATGGTTGAATGATGATGGCTAGATGACAGTGGTCAAACGACATTGATCTGAATATGGAGAATATGCTATAACTATAAAGCTGTGGTCATTTCTTTATAATAGTCAGGTGATAATGGTCAAATAATATGCTGACTAGTGGTGATCGTCAGCCAACATCGAGTAAAGCTTAAGAGTTCTTAAGATCTTTATATTAGTTCATATTTAAAATATTTTATCACTATCATTTTTGTTGTGGGCTTAAATATTCACGGTGATAGAATGAGAGAATTTTTTGGCCCAATGATGCACGGATATCCAACACATAAACATATACTTGTTAAAGCAAGGGAACACCAGAAACTTTTTACGTGGAAAAATCACAAGGCTTGGCCTAGGTAAAAAGATTTGATTATATTTTTGTAAGTACAAAGATCGACTAGTCCTTCACCTTAGGGATGGTAAAATTACAATAGTTTGGGGAGTCAATCAAACTTTTTATGAGTACTCGAGAGTTTGTGACGACCGTGGTTGAACGACGGAAGTCGGCAGCCGGACTTTGTAGTTTTTTTTTTTCTTTCATGAGCTTTCCACATAAAATTATGACGTCTCTTATAATTCTTGCACTTATTTCTTATTTATGTGCGCGTGATCGATCTTCATTAAAAGTTAAGATATTAAATTTTATTTCACAAAGTAAAATTTACTCAAAAATGATAATAGAGGATCTGCTGAACTTCAAAAATATCAAAATTGAGTTTAAAACGTCAAATATTAATCTCGAGAAAATGCCAGAAAAGATTTGTCTATAAAACATTAGTACAAAACACAAGCATCCTTCAATCCAAACAACATAATCCAATAGCAATATGCCAATATTTTTTTTAGTTTTAATTTAATAAAATTAGGAATATGCCAATATAATCCTTCATCATTATAAAAAGAAGTTGCTAAAGATGCATTTTTATTTAATTATCACATATAATAATTTTATTTATCACATCACTTTGGACAATAAGCTTATCAAATAATAATCTATTTTATTTGACAACAGACTTATAACCAAACAAAGAATTATACCAAATAAATAATGCAGCTTATATAAAAATATTATTGCTTAGGAAGAGCTAATCTTCCATGCCCATAGTAATTAAGCCAAAACAAAATATTTTCTTTATTGGATTTTCTTTAGTTGTTTATATTTTGCTTTATTTTATTTATTTTTTTTTCTAATCCAACCAAAATATAATTAGGCGAACCAAAATATATTATTATTCTCAAGTTATAATTATAATCACAAATTTCTTATATTTATCTAACCATTTTTTTAAATTATTCTCACCAGTCTCTACTCTTGAAAAAATTATTACGTGCAGAGTCTTGATGGTGCCGAATATTGGCCATTAAAAAAGATGCATAATACAAAGTTGACTGTTGCAAAGATGGGGAGGCTCGAGTGGATGAGTGGCTTTACTCAGAAATGATACGAAATGAGCATATTCGTGAAAATGATTTTAAATTTATTTATTTATCTATTAAATTCAAAAATAGATTCAATTCAATTTATTTGATTATTTAAATAAATAATTAATGCCTACTTTTAAATTTATTTTTTTCAGTACCTAATTATATTATTAAATCTTTAATAATACCTAGTTTAAAAATTTTCCCTATATAGCCCTACAGCCGGCCTGAACCAATTGAAATTTCTTTCCTTATCGGTCACGCGACTGAATTAAAGAGGCCCGTGTATTCGGCCACAATCCCGGCTTCATTCACATTGACAAGAGAACTACAATTATAATATGAAGAGTTATTTTAAATTAATTTTATGTAATTAATGGATTAAATGGAGATAATATAATACAGGAATAAATGATTTTAAGATTTTTGTGTTTTTTTTAAATTATAGAATTATTTTTTATTGTCTTCTTATAAATTTTAGATCCCGCTGTACCTGCGGAGTCTCAGTTCTTGGATTCTTGAGATCATCGAAACCAGCCTTGTCCATGCAAATTCGAAGAATCCGTCGTCCTCTTCCCGCTTCTTCTCTTTCTCCTCCGAAAACTCCATGCGAGAAACATTCAAATGGATGCAAAGATCCTGTACCTGCAAATCTATGCGACCCGGTTGCGGTTTCTTCGTACTCAACCGCCATGTCTTCCTTCTATAAATAGCAATCTTTCGATCGTATCGCTCTCCGTTGCATTGCATCCTCTTCTTTGTTCCTGCTTTTCTGTTATCGAGTTCCGAGGTTGTTGAGGCGATGTCTTCCGTGTTCTTTTGTCCATCAACTGTGTGGCCTGCTGGGGAGAAGATAGGATTTGGGTATTCTTCAGTACGGGGGTGGCGGAGTACCGGCGTTGGAGGGGTGGCCTCGGTTTATTTGCGCCCGATCCGGGCTAAGATGGCAGCTGATAGGTTTCGCGGACGGAGTGGGGAGTTTATTGAGGAGAATGGCAAGTGCGACTGTTCCGTTACGGGTAAGTATGTTTTTGTTTTGTGTCATGAATAGGATGTTGATGTGGGAATTATTGCTTGTTTGGTTTTTGGGATTCTGATTTTTTTTTTTAGATTTTTTATATTGATTGTTTCGAGTAGAGGATTCTCCTTGCTTTTGCTGATTCGGGTATCTTTATGTTGAGTTTGGTTGCTAGGAATGAACAGAAATGAAAGAGTTGAATAGCTTAAATCAATGGATTGTGGATTGATAATCAACCGGAAATTTATCAGGATTTCATTTCGTTCTCTCTTGTTTAATTCTATCCAAACAAAGACTAAAGAATGATTTAGATTCAAGACTGTATTCTTATATGGGATCTGTTTGGTTTCGATATGGGATTAGTTCTTGTTCTTTGAAATTCAGAGAGGATGGATTCTCTTGATGAAACCATGGTGGATTGGTGGATCATGGAGGAAGATGTCAAACAAACTTATGATCTCGTTTGTGTTTCTTTTATCTCTTGTTGATAACAGGGGATTAAATACTGACATGCATGAAGCGATTTGTGCATAAAGAAAAATGACTCGATTTTTTAGTGATAATTAGGTGATTTTTGAGTTTATAAACTAAATTCCCGATATATGTAATTGAGATAAAAGACTCGCGTCTGTCCTTTCATTTCTTTCTTATCCCTCTACCAGATAGCCAATACTTAACCTAACCTGCCATCGAATTGATTTTTTCATATTCTTTAGATTTTTCTGGGAAGCTTTCTTGTGATTTTTTTCATATCATACAAAATATACATGAGTTCTTTTGTATACTTGAAAAGTAACCTGTCCTTAAGTAGACAAATAAAATATGTCTTAGAAAGCACATTAAATTCTCTAGATTAAGATAACTGCTTAGTAGATAACCAATACATTTACTAATACAACATAGCAATAATTAATGCAATACTCAATTGAAAAACCATGAATCACAAAAATAAAATGAACTTTTAACTCACTTGTATATTTTGAAAACTAAAAAAAAATCATCATTACGATCGTTAGTCTTATCCTAATTCTATGGCATTGGTTTTATAGATCTTTATTTTATATTTGTTCATATTAAGTTTTACCCCGGGTATTAAATCTATTCTTCACAAATTAAAAGTTCAAGTAAAATTCATACATTTCATTTTGAAATAAAACTACAATATCTGACAAAATTGTCCCCAAAATGGCAAAATTGCTAATATGATCATACAAAAAGATTAGTTTTTTTTTTTACATTTTGCTTTTTTAACATTGTATAGTGAAGGGTTTGCTTTGGTGGGGGTGGAGATTTAAGGGGGAGTAATTGAGGTATGTAGAGAGGGGTATGCTATATATTTTAGGAGTATTATGAAACTCCATTTTGTTAAAGTTTATTTTAATTTCTCATTTATTTTATTTTATTTTATTTTATAGCAATGTGGTTTATTCAGCAAGTCTTAATTTCTAATATTTTTTATATTTTGCTAAACAAAGCATTTCTTTCTACCTTTTGATAGGATCATGTCTCTTTCATCCATTTGGCATTATTTATTTAAGTATTATTGAAATCTTTCTTAAGATTATAGGGGTTTAGTAGGACTGAGAACTATTAAATTAAATTCGACTAACCTATAAATGAGTTCAGGGTTTTTGCTTTCATTTTGAAGCCAGGCAAGCGGTGCAAATTTTTAGTTTATTTTATCATTTAACATCCCATCTTATCCATTTTATTTGTGATAAAGTAGATTGCATAATTTTATGCTTGTTTTTTGTATTTGTGTTCTAAATCGTACTCCTCTTTTGATTATGTAGAAAGAAATACTTTGGTGCTTTCAAATGTTGGAAATTCAACAAACATTGCATGGCATGAATGCCCTGTTGGAAAACATGAGCGACAAAAGTTATTGAAGCAAAAAGGTTGTGTCATTTGGATCACGGGTCTAAGTGGATCAGGTATGATTTTATAAATATATTCATGTAATTCACACGTTATTGAACATTGGTTATCTTCAGCTTCAAACCTTTTGAAGAGAGATAAAAAAAAATCACTTTATGAAATCTTTGTTAGGAGCTTAGTTAAATTTGCATTTTGTACATGAATTATGAAAAAAAATGTTTAAAAATTTATCTTTTAAAAATCTACTATAAAATCAAAAAAGTTAAAACCTTAAAATTTACAATGTTATACTTTTATGTATTACACGCTTATATTTATGATAAATGTTCATTTATCTTACTCATTAAACCCAAGATGTAGCTATCGAGTAACAACAATAGAACTTGAGGAAGAGATGACTTCTTACGAAGAGAGTTTTGTTTGTATAAGTAGTCAATTATATTCACCCTACTACAACAACATCAACAACAACAAACAAGCCTTTATCCCATAACGTGGAGTTGGCTACATGAATCATTTTTCTCTATTGTGTCTTATTAAAAGCCCAGTATTTTTAATGGTCATTTTAATGCTTTCTAACCAAGTATTTTTAAGTCTTCATCTACCTATCTTAACATAGGCCGGATCTAATACATCTATTCGATTAATAAGGTCATCGGAAGCTGACGTTTTATGTGACCAAACCATCTAAGGCGACTCTCTAATCTTATCTTCTTCTAGAGCTACTCCAACCTTTTCGCATATGTTTTCGTTTTGCATTATGCTTTAAGTGCAAAGATGTTCATCCACCTGAGCATCCTCATCTTTGCAACACTTAATTTTATGCTTCTCTTTTAATGGCCAATATTTTGCGTCATAAAGCATGAAGGCCCCCTCACCATCTTATAAAAATTTCTTTTAAGGGATTCTTTTCTATCACACAACAAATCCGATGCATTCCTCCACTTCAACCATCCAACTTGAATTCTACTAATAATATCCTCATCTATTTTGAATAATAGACCTGAGATATCTAAAACATGTACTCTTTTTAAAGACTTGATCACCCATTGTCACAATAAGTTGTTTGTTATTAAGATGGGTGTCATCCACATACACATTAGATCAAACATCTTCAAATGTTGGGTGAATGTGGATTGAAGCCAGTGACTGGAAGACAATGACATTTGAAAGAATTGCAGAACCAGAAATATCCACGAACATGGATGCGCCCAACTACACTACTCACGACAACCTCATGGAGATAAATGAGAGACTTATGAAGATGATTCAGGACGTCTTGGGAGGATTATTGAGGCATGCACCAAAGGAAAGTATGCTAGAGGGTTCATCTGACTTGATTGTTTCTCATAGAAGACCAAAGGCACCGGCACTCACTTTGACACCCAAGGTGGATCCCACTTGCATCACCATTAGCAAAGAATTTTGCCATACTCCTAATCCACGAGTGAGGAGAGCAGAGCCCAAACTAACTAATGTTTTTTTCTAGGGAGATAGCAGAGTCGAGGCAGCTTTAAAAGTTCAAGATACCGATCTACCAGGGAAGAACCGGTCCTTTTGACCATGTCGCTTACTTTGAATCTATGATTCACTACTCAGGTTGGTCACTCACATGTCCGCAGGGGTGATCTCATTCATAGAGTTTAAAATGATTTTCTTTACACAATCTGCGAGGGCTCAAAAGCGTCAAAAGAACTCGTAGGGCCTCCTCAAGATACGATAGGAGCTAGGCAAGTCGTCTCATAGCTTCATCTTGAGATTTCAAAGGGAGATGCTTGAGGTAAAGAATCTAGAGCCAACCATTGCTTGGGCTGCTCTGATGCAAGGATTAAGAGAAGGTCTGTTCTGCCAGGCATTGTAGGTCTGGAGCTGCAGAAACTGAAGATGTTGGTTGTGTTTCTCCAACTTGCCAATAGCAACATCAATGCCGAGGTGCACAATCGATAATTGAATCCTTGTCATCCACTTGCCACAAAGGGTTTGCTACCACAAATGATCGTCATCATGTCCTTGAACTTGAGAGAAGTCGCCAAAGGAATCATAGGTTTAAAAGAAAGCCACCTATAACGTGTGATTGACCCCATCCAGACCACCAGAGGGCATTGCATGCCCAACATGCAGTGCATCATGTATGCCACATATGGAAATAGTATAATATTACCAATAACTTTGACAATAATAATACACACATTTCAATGCTTGTGAAATGTCTTATGGCACGGAGCAAATATTCATAAAATTTTGATTTAACCATGTGAAATTGCGCATGATTACTAGAATAATAAAATATTAAAGTTATAAGCTGAAATTTGCCATTACATGGTCAAATCCTTGTACAGAAAGCTATATAAAGAAAACATATGAATTATGAAATCACTGAGCACTAATATATTACCTATTGTTGAATAGGTTTCTCAACTATCCTTACCCATGAATCAACCTTTAAACCATTCAAAATATGAATTTTCTCTCTTTCTTTGTTTCCCCTCATTGGTTGCCTAAGGAAATGAAAATAAAAATATCAAGTAAAGAAGCTAGTGGCAATTTGATAAATAACTAGAAGTTTTGGATAAGAGAACCAGTTGCATAAGAAATTAACACTCAGTTAAATCCAATGTATTTTTATTTTTTTATCCGCAATAAAACGTTCTTATTTCGTATTGTTAAATATGATTGCCATAATACTTTTTTCAACTTTGATCTGATGGATCAGGCAAAAGCACTTTGGCGTGTGCCCTTAGTCGAGAATTACATATGCTCGGATATCTTTCGTATGTGCTTGATGGGGACAACGTTAGGCATGGTCTAAACAAAGATCTTGGTTTCAAAGCAGAGGATCGTTCTGAAAACATTCGTAGAATTGGTATTGTTATGGGGTTTTCTTGTTTAATCATGTTGGCTTTCATATTTTTCTATAACATTATTGCGCCCAAAAAAAAAAAAAGTTACTAAAGTTTGTAGATATGCCTTTATACTAATTCTATATGCTGTGCATTGTCTTGTTCAGCTCCCTTTGAACTTATTTTGTTTGTGTATATTCAAGATCCATGCAAAGAAATATTATTATCAAATATAGTTTAAGGCTTCGTTTGGGACGACTTCTTTACTGTTTCTTAAAGTAGCTTTCTAGTAAAAAAATTAAAATATTTATACTAGAAAGCGGCTTTAAGAAACAGTTAGAAAGCCATCCCAAACGAAGCATAAGTTACTCCTGAAGTTATAATAATTCAAAATATTCTCTTATAGGCGAGGTAGCAAAACTTTTTGCTGATGCTGGTATAATATGCATTGCTAGTTTGATATCACCATACCGGGTAGACCGCGACGCCTGTAGGGCTATGATGCCTTACTCAACTTTCATTGAAGTAATTTTTCCTTTTTTTTCTGGTTTTGATGTAGCCTTTCCCACAGCTTCTATGGTGACTTCTAGTAACAATTTTTTATAAATGGACATTTATGACAGGTTTTCATGGATATACCTTTGGAAATTTGTGAATCAAGAGATGCAAAGGGCCTATACAAGTTGGCACGTTCTGGAAAGATAAAAGGTATGCTCCAGTAATCAAATCCGTTTCTGTTCATTGCCCCTAATTTCATTGCTAATAAGGCATAAACTTTCCATACCAAAATTTTCTTTTGGTTGAACTAAAAAACTAATAGAGTGCCACTTAACCCTGCAGGATTTACAGGGATTGATGATCCTTATGAGCCACCTTTGGAGTCTGAGGTATGTTGACATTCTTCTAAAAAAAGTTTTGTCAAGTTATCCTAACACATTTTGTATTAAGATAAGACTAATTTTATTGCATGTAAGGGTGTTAATTTCGGGCCACGAGTCGGGTTCGGGTCGAACCCGAAACTGACCATGCACTATTCAGGCAACCCAAACCTGACCCATTTTTGCAAACGGGTCGATTATTTGGACCTGAACCCGACCCGCTTCGGGTTTGGGTCAACTCAACACGAACCGAATGACCCAGGGCCATGAAAAAATTGTTAGTTTCGGGTCAAAATGGGTCAATCTTATATTTTCGGGTCAAAGCAAGTTTTCGGGTCAAAACGGGTCAAAGGGTCAACTCAAACTCGACATGATTTTTGAAATGGATCGAATTGTTGAACCCGAACCTAACCCATTGCATGTATGTTTGATTGCACATGTCACATTAATACAACTAAATTTAAATGACAAATACAAGTAAAATCAGTAGACAATCACAATTATAATCATAACATAAAAACGCATTGAGATGAGATCTTTCAATAAAATTTTCTTAATGTCTACAGAACTACAAGAAATCCATGAAAGAAGTTTTCTTAATGTTTCAATGAAATTATTAATCAATACAACTAAGCTATCAGGCATTTACAGACATAAGTAACATATAAAATGTTTGAGAAACAATAAAATTATATAAAATCATAACAGATTCGTTTATCATGGAATTTCATGTTCTTACCACCCACTTATACTTTGTTTTGAACTGTCTTCAGATATTGCTAGCACCAATTGATGGAGTGTGCCCTTCGCCTGTATCAATGGCTAAGCAAGTGATATCATACCTCGATGATAAAGGATTTTTAGAGGCTTAACGATGGGAGTATTGCCCCCTAAACCCTAAAGCTTTCACAGGAGAAAACCATCACATATATAACCTATATAACCAGTAATAGAGGAAGAAGTGCAGAAGCTCATAACTCTCTCGCTCTTCTTTGAAGTGTAAATACAGAAGAGATAGTAAAGAAGTTGCTCGCTACTTCCACTGTAAGCAACTTCATTTGAAAGCATTATAGATTAAAGCTAAAGAGCTGATAAAAAGTTCTCAGGAAGACTATCAGAAACAAGTTATGATTTTTTTTACGCGCCATTTGTTTTATGTGATTTTGTACAGGACTAGCTTCAGTGTTTTTCTATTTGAGCCTCTGAACATTCTCCTCACATGTGTCAACTCTGACATTATTAAGGCTCTGTTTAGGACGGCTTTCTTCTTGCTTTCTAAAATAATTTTTTAGTACAAAATTTTTTTGAATTTGAAATTTTTGTATTAGAAAGCCGTCTTAAAAAGCAATACGAAAGCTGTCACAAACAAAACTTAAGGCATGGAATTGTAGTTAATGGATTTGGGAACGTCTAGATTGCTTGCACATGCTTCTCCAGCATGAGAAATTATCTAGTGTGAATAATCTATGTGCAGTGTGAATTACACAGTTGTGGTGTATATATCTATCTATTACACACGTTTGATTATTCATACTTAGGTTTCGGTTGGAGCAGTTTTTTTATTGTTTTCTAAAGCAGTTTTTTAATACAAAAAAATTTAATTTAAAAATTATTTGTACTAAAAAATAGTTTTAGAAAACAACAATAAAAAATTATCTCAAACTAAACCTTAATTTGAATATAATAATTCGAACCTAATAATTTCTCGTCTAGGAGGGATCATTTGGTGCTATCAATAAGTTTCAATAGTTGCAGCGTAATTTTGCTAGCTTCATTTGGTCCATTATGTGAGATTATTATTATTATTATTATTATTTTGGATTTTTTAATTGTGTGCATGTGTAGCTATGATTTGGGAAAGGGCCTTGAGTTTTCTATGAATTTTGTGGCTTATGTTGTTGGTGAATGGATCTTTTCTTTCTCCTCTTTTGTAGAAGTAACAAATCACAGACACGTTGCCATTGTGAAATTATTTTGTGCAGACGTCGAATGTCATCTGAAGATCAAGTAGAATGTGTCACGTCACCTCCTGCTCTGTACTGTTCGGTACCGCGACTCAATACCGCTCGGTATCGAGCTCAGTACCTTTGATGTGACGCATTTTGGTTGGTCTCTGGATGATGAACTGCTTTTGGCGTCCGCTCAAAATAATCCCTCCTAGGGTTGTGGATTCTCTTTCTTGTTTGTATTAGTTGTAATAATGTACATCATTCTCGATTTTGATGATGCTTCTGCATTCATATTTTATTGGATCATCTGGTAGTGATAGATAAGCTTATATTTTCAGATTTTTGTAGTTGAAAAGCTTATATTCCCTAGCAAATCAAAATGAGTAAAAGTTAATGCACATCATTATCAAAATTCAAGTTTAGCAATCATCATGCAAGGATTGCATAATAAATAGGGTTAGAAATGAGCTTTGAAATGATGCTAATGATGATTTAAATTAGGCAATCAAAGGAACTTTTTTCTTTAAATTAATGGATTGCATGATTGACTTTTTCATAAGGGCAAACTTTCCATTGTGTGAACTTTATAATTTTGAGAGGAGAATGATTATTTTCCATATATATTTTTTTATTTGCAACTTTATATTATATTCAACTATAAGATCTAATCATTTTTTTGTAATCTACAGTGTAAAATATCATATGTGAATTGAGGAACTTTATATTAATGATGATTTAATTCAAAAACAACAAACTTTATGTTATATAATGAATGTTGCAACACACAACATTCATGATATCATCTATACATATAATAACATCAACCCCTTGTGTATGTTTTCCCTAAGGTTTTTAATAATTTTATCATAAAATTAAAATAATTTATTGAAAGATTTTTATTGATTCAATTAATGATTAAATAGTTCTAAAACATTTGAAATGATAAATAATACTATTTCATGCTATTATATTCACGGCGGTAGTGAGAATTTTTCGTCCTGGCTATGCATGGATATTCATCACATAAATTGATAGTAGAAAGGAAACACAAGAACATTTTTTATGTGAAAAATTCAAAAAGTAAAAAACTAAGGGGCCTTACCCAGGTGAAAGATTCCATTATATTAGAGGGAGCTATAAGGGCATCTCCAACCGAACGACAAACACTTGTTTGCCGTTCTTGCTTTGCTCCAACTGATCGTCATTTTTCACGCCATTTGATCACTGTTCATCTGCGCCATTTTTTTATCTATACCGAACATGTTCAGAAGAAAGTTGCCAAAGAAAAGCTACGTTTAAGCGGCAAAATGGAGTTCGGTTGGAGATGAAACACCGCTTTTTTTGGTTTCACTGCATTTTGGAGTGAAAAATGAGATTTTTCAGTTGGAGATGCCCTAAAGGTTGGCCAGCCTTTTTGAGTTAGAGGAGATGAATTTATAATAGTTTGGAGAGTTGGCCGAACTTCTTATAAGTGCTCGGGAGCTTGTAATGACTGTGGTTAGACGACGAAAGTCAAGAGTTTGGTAGCAACGGATGGGAGAAGATCCAACATATGTTGGCGGCTGGGTGTAGATCCAATGGATTCCGAGCAGAGGTCCGGTGGTGATCGATGGCCTGGCGGAGTTCCAACATTGGTTGTCAGCTTGGCGGAGGTTCAATAGAGGTCGACGGTTGGGCGGTGGTCTAGAGGCCGAGTGAAGGATTAGATATGGTTGGGCGTCTAGGCGGTGGTCCGATTGAGATAGGAGGTTGGGTAGTGGTCAGGAGATGGTCGACGCCTGGGATGAGATCAGTTGGTGGTTTTCAGCGAGGTAGTAGTTCAACGATGGTCAACTGCTAGGCGAGGTTCTATGATAGTCGGGAGGCCTCGTGGTGGTCTGATTGAGAGACAAAAGTTCGTTTATGGTGGTGATTAGGTGGAGCTCTAGATCCTTGAAGCCTCCGGGCTCTCTCCAATTTACAGCTAAAGAGGCCTTTCATGTAGGGAGTGATAATCTATTTATAGATTTTAAGAATGATGTGCTCAATAAATATGAAGAGAATTCAGAGTGTTCCATTGAACGACCCATATTGATTTTCTTGATCATAGAACATCATTCAGCATTTAATTGCCTTAATGATGTTCAAATTAAGCGATTTTGGGCTCGTTGGATTTGTCTTGTCAAGCAACTCGATTCGACTATAAGCAGGTCATATTTTGATATTATTTGGCTATTCAATTAATGCTTTTAAGCTTTCAAATATGTCTAAGTTCCTTGATTTGGACTCATTTAAGCTTAGATTGGACCTATTTTAGCGTCATTGGGTTCGTCTTACTCATAAGTTCAATTTAAATGTAAGTTTATTGAAATTTGAGTTTAGATGGTCTAGAATTTAATTTTGGAAGATATCAAATTGAATATGCCTTGAAATTCATGCCTGATCAAGATGATGTGATGAAGTATCAAATATTAATTTTAATGACCTGAAAAAGCCATTTTTCAAAAAAAAAAAAAAAAACCTATTTTAGAAAAATCCTTTTGAATAATTAGAACGGTTAGTCGGTTAATCTTATCCTACATCGTGTTTCACGAGACATTTCAAGACCGATCTGAGCCGCGGAAAAACAAAACAGATTGGATCATTTGCAAGCTGGTCCCTAGAAATCAGCTGAAATACTCCAAACACGGAACCGCCAAATAGTTCCCACCCTCGAGCGGAATGCCACCACGCGACCGCCGACGACGCACGCATCATAATCTCAGCGCCTCGGGTGCGAAATCCTACCCTCTTTCTCTTCCCAGCTCCTTCCTCGTGGTCCTCCGCCCCTATTCGCCGGAGAACAGTGAGAGCCCTCGTCGCCAATTTTCCCTGCGAGAGCGTCGATCAGTTCTTCGGTGAGAGGTTAAGCAGATTGTTATTTTACTTTTCGTTTGCGAAGTTTTGTGATCTGGAGCTACGAGAACTGGTTTGTTAATGCGTGCAAGAAAGCAGCTTTTGGCTTTCATTATTTGTATAGTTTTTGCTGATTCGGCGCTTGATGGGAGAATCTTGTTTTCCGGTTATGGTTTCTAGGGTTTTAAATCGGACGTGCGAGTATTGGTGGTCCGTTTATTCAATCAATAGCTTCTTGGTGCATTACTGATGAAAAACATTCATGTTACTAGTTAGTTTTATTTTGGTATCGTTGGTTATACTATGTATGGACAATTACAAAGCGGCTAGACTATTCTGTTGAATTACAACGGTTGTTTTTCTGTTGCAGGTCAAGGGGCGGGGCACCTTCTGTATGTATATAACTGCCAGGGAAATTTTTTTGAAACTTGTTGTAACCTACGTAGAATCTATATGCTGCTCTGGAAAGCTGGTAAGAGCAGTGCATGATTGATTGGCGCGAACTGCGCCACATTTTAATTATTGATTTATGTCAGCAATGGCTGTTGGAGGTTCGTTGCAGCTGTCATATGATCTAGGTGTTATCAATAATCGTGTATGGGCTAAACCGTTCAGGGTACTAGTAATTTAATGGTTTTCTCTTTAGAATTAAAATTTTGTTTTACTGGGATTGACTGTGTTTTTTTATTTTTAGATCTCAAGAATCAAGAGGTTGCATCATTTGCAGGGAATTTCCCTATCTTCATGCTCTTTGGTATTCTTCCTCTCATTTCATCGTCTTATTATTATTAATATTATTATTTTCTGTCATTTTTCATGACATGTAGTATTTTTACACATTAGTATGGTTGGTGGTATTCCGCATCTTATAGCACTTCTATTTGAAAACTTGAGATCATAGTTACTGAAAGACAGAAGATGATATTGAGGAGATATTCTTTATCAAACTAATGGCCAACTCTATGAACCTGAAAGCTGACCCAATGATTACTTTATTAACTAACTGATACCCCATGTTTGCTTGGAATGAAACAAAATCAGGAGGGAGAACTGATCAAACTCCAGAAGTCCCAAAATGGTATATGTGGGGTTAAGGATAAAGGTTTAAATAATAAGATGAAACTCATTCAAAGATTGTACATAATGGATCAGCTATTAAATTCCTCAGTAAGCTTCACATCTCTTCTTGATTTCCATGGAACCTGATATGCATACATGTACATACAATCTGGTTTGTGATAGCTTTCGCCGGCATACTTTGTTGACATTTATTTTTATTTTTTACTTACAAGCAATATCTCAACATGACACCCGTCTTACCTTTAAAGCATGTTTTAGCAGGATTAGGCTAGATTGGGCTCAATCTTTTTGCTTCCCCACATTCTTCGCTGATTAGGATTACGTTAAAATATTGATCTTCTGAAGTTTCAAACATTAGTGAAACATATCCTTAGCTATTGTTCTTCCACTTAAGAGGTTCACAATATGGAGCTAATTTGGATTTGGTTCAAGATTGACTCATACTCATTCGATCAGCTTATGAGTCAAACGAAGACTTACTATTTGTTGGCTAAATTTGATCCCAATTTGAGCTAGATCTAGTTCATTACGGTTTCTAAAAATGTGTGAGAGAATTTGATTTAATTTTTGATCTTCTAGAACAATTCTTAGTTCATCCTTTTACATGCATTTTATAATACACACACATGAGTGTGTATGCTTGTATGCATATTTCATTTACATATTTAAATTTGTTGTCTTCAATTTATGAATGCACGCATCCATAATCCATATGAATGTTTATATCTATAGAGAGAAAAAGAGCAAAATGGTCTCTTGACTCTTTATGAAAAACCAAAATGGTCTCCAACTATATTGAAGGATTATTTTGGTCCTTCAACTCCTTAAATAGGAACTAAAATAGTTATATATATGACTATATATATATATATATATATATATGTGCTTGTGTGTATGTGTTGATCGGAGGAAGGAGAGAGATTATATCTCAAATGAAATATTTATATTGGAATAGATATATTTCAAGAATTTCATCTTGTAGAACAGTCTTCATGCTCTATAGTTCATCATACTTATCTCTTATGATTTTTTCTTAATGGTATGAAGCTTGAGGTATTTATTCATTTTGATTGCAGCGGCAAGATGTTTGGGGTCTTCATGTTTCAGACAGTATATACAAGAGAAAATACCAGGTTCCATATGGACAAAATTGCTGCATTTGTCGATCTATTGTTATTCCAACATCTGCACAGGATATCCCTCTTTTGAAATCAAGTACCTTTGCTTTGACTAGGTATTACTTTGATCTATGATATACTTTTGATAGCAATGAGAAGTCACTCGACTGAAAAATAGGCATGCCTATTTTTGATAAGCTGTTGCAAATTTACCCAAATAGAATTAATTAATTTGCATTTAGATAAATAAATAAATCATGTTTTTTTTAATCACGACAATTAACATACTTTAGTGTTGTTTTTTATTTCTATTTGATTTTTTTTTTGGAAAATGGTACCAAGATTAGTTTTTTTATTTTTATTTTCAAGGATAGAAATCTATCTTAAATATTTATTAATTTCAATAGGGCACAAGGATAGTTATGGATAAATAAGCATGATATATTAGAAATAAGGAGGGCACTAGGCAAACTATTGACCGAATTATACGTATGGAGCTAGTGGATATTTATTTAGAAAAAGTCACAGGCCAAACTCTAACTTGTGTCCTTCCTTGACTCTAGAAACCAAGGAGCATATCGGTTGATTGAGAGCTCTTTGTTTCTCAAGGAGAAAATGACCAAAAATGGTCCCTTGACTTTTTATAAAAGGCCAAAATAGTCTCCAAATATATTAAAGGGCTATTTTTGTCCCTCAAGTCTTTAAAGCTAAATAAAAATAGTCCCATTGTCACACTATGTTGGTTCATCTTTTAGGAATTGAGGGATTAAAATGGTCCTTTAATATAATTGAAGTCTATTTTGATTTTTTGTAAAGAGTCAAGGGATTATTTTGATTATTTTCTTGTTTCCCTAGTATTGCATGGTTGATCTGCTGCATTGTAATTGTTCTATCATGTTCATTACCATGTTAGAGCTTAATTAATCTTAGTATTCTACTGATGCTTACAGTTAATAATTTAACTACACTTTTGTTCATCTTATCATGGGGACTCTTTATAGGTATTGGTTAGTAATTTGGAACCAATTTAGTGCTCTCTCTCTCTGCTTCTAGAAAATTATATAAGAATTCCAAGTTGGCAATCTTTACTTGTTTTGCACATTATCCCTCACACATTAATGCTTCTTTTGGTGATTGTTCACCACCAAGCCGTGCATGCCTCTGCATTTAGCTGATCGTGTGCACTGGGCAGGCGGCTTTTTTGCCAGCTTGTCTGCCTGCATGCACTGCTGGGAAACAGAGCATTGCAGCTGCATCAAGCATTTTGTAAATAATAAAGAACAGCTTTTCATCAGTAGCAATTGTCAACTTCTATGACTGGAGCTTCACTTTCTTTTTTTTCAGAATACCGTGCCAAACTAAGTAATAATTTCTTTCTTCATAGGTCATATGATGCCCTACTCAAAAGTCCCCTTCTGCTTAGATTAGCTCCAGCAGTTGGAATCATTGTGTTTGCTGTATGGGGTCTTGAACCTGTCATTCGTTATGGAAGGAAATTCTTTCGTGTATGTGCCGTATGCAACACAGCTTCTATTCGTTTTGGGGATATGAAATAATTTATCCATGAAGTTTTATTTTAGAAGCAGCAGCTGACTAATGTTCTCCTGCAGAATGATAATAATTGGAAAAAGAGCAGAACGCATTTCGTCCTTACTTCATACCTTCAGCCAATTCTTTTGTGGACTGGAGCAACACTCATCTGTAGGCATGTTAAAAAAATTTAAAAGCAGCTTATTTGTAGTCGATTACTATCATTCGCATGGTTTTACACAGAACATGTGCTACTTTTGCATTTAATAGGGCATTGGATCCTATAATTCTGACATCAGAAGCAAGCCAAGCTGTCAAGCAACGGCTATTGAGCTTTGTAAAATCACTCTCTACTGTGCTGGCTTTTGCATATTGTCTTTCAAGGTAAGTTTTTAAAGATTTTTTTTCCTGATGGTTTATCCAACATTCATGCCTGAATATTGAACTTAATATATAACTGAATCATACGCCCGTTGGTGAAACTTTCATAACAATTGGATTCTTGACACATGGAATTTTGTGCTGAATAATATACATGTCTGGTTCAAGGCCTTATTCTTACGCATTAACACTTGCTTTTTAATTTAATGGTCCATGGCTAAATTTTTACTGGTTTACACCATAAAGCTGGCATCTCTGTAACCAGTGCTTTTAAGTTGGGGTATTTGATCTTGCTCTGAGCCATGATTATGCCATCAGTTTCTACTTTATAATTTTTTTTTTGGATTTTTTTTGCATTACTATCATTTATGATTTGATTAAATCATTTTTTGCACCCAGTATTTCTAAGCTGCATCACTATATATAATTTTATCAAGTAACATCTTCTTTACACAGATGGTCCTATTCAAAATGTATTGTTCACTGGCTATCGTGTGGATTTACCATTTGATGATCTCTATTTATGAAGTTTCATTTACTTTTATTTTTTTTTTGTGAAATGGGCCATTTTATCTTCTTTGATAAGGACTTTAGCAAACGTAAAAATGTGTCTTGAATAATTTAGTTGATTGTATGCTCCTATGTTATGCATTCTGAACTTTAACATGACTAGGGATATGAAAATTTCATTTTTTCCCTCATTTTTGCTTTTCACATTTACATCACCGGAAGCATTGTTTAAAATTATACAATTTGAGGTGCGTCACAAGGTGATACGCATGCAAAATGTCTTGAGCCTTATATGTCACAGTGGGAGAAATAGGTTTATGCCTTAATTGTTTGATGAATGCAATAAGGGGCACCATGAGGCTCCCATAATTAGGTGTACGCCTCTATTTCAATTTTTAGCAATTTTTAGAAGTTGTTGGGCTTTTTTTTATTTAATAGCGCAAGGCCCAAGTGGACTTATAAATTACATGAGGAACATCTCAATGTTAAATTTTTTTTTTGAAGGAATAAGAACAAAAAAAAAGTTGATAAGAATGTAACAAAAAAGATTAGTATAAAACTTTATGAGAAAATGATCAAAATGGTCCCTCAACTCTTTATGAGGGATCAAATAGTTTCCAACTCTTTTGACAGATTAATTTGATTCCTCGGCACTTTAAAATGAGACTTTTTTAGTCTTAAAATTTATTAAATATAATTTTTGTAATTATAATTTTTCAAAGAAATCTAATTAAACATTTATTTAATAAAAAAATTAAGAATAATTTTAGTTTTTATTTAAAAAATTTTAGTCATATTTTATTAAATATGATATTTATTGATTTAGAGAAATCAAATGCAAATATATAAATTTAGTCACACATATTTTTATTATAAAATATGACTGAAATTTTTGAAATTAAAACTAAATTATTATTAATTTTTTATTAAAGAAGCGTGTAATAAATTTTTTTTAGAAAAATTATAATTACTTGAAAAGTATATTTAATAAATGTTTAATTAAAAAAGGATCAAAATAACCTTACATTTAACACATTAACTCCAACTTTGGATGGCAAGACAAAAAATATCCCATTTTAAAGAGTTGAATGATCAAATTGATCCCTCAAAAGAGTTGAGAATCATTTTGGTCCCTCACAAAAAGTTTATGGACCATTGTGGTCATTTTCTCAAAACTTTATGTTATAGAGATTATAAAAGGTCAATATAGTTATTATTAGGGAAGAGGAAGATGATTTAGGCTGAAGATGATGATGAAGATTGTGAGGTCGTTGATACAAGTGCAGGAATGAGGGAGGTGAGAAAGTAATCAACTGTGGTGATGATGCAAATAAAATCTTTTAAGTGATGGGAATGTGAGAGAATTTTGAATTTAAGGTCCTATGTAATAACTTTTTATTTTATAACACCTTTATTTTTTATTTTACACTTCCTGTTTATGTTTACTTGTCTATCTTAGACTTCTTGTTTATTGAGTGCTTGTGTGATTTTTAATAATGCTACTTGATATTTTTTTATTACTCTCAAATGCTTTTGGTGGGAGAAAACAAGCTCAAATTTAATGATTTTATTTCTTATTGAGTCATAAGGAGGATTACTCTCAAATACTTTTTTTTTCTAAATATTTTTAGTTATTTTAATTGTTTAATGTTGAGGTTTACACCTCAAAACACTTTGAGGCAAGGCCTTATGAAAAGAAAGCCTAAATTCTTAATTTTCCAATTTTATATCTTGTGTAGAAGAAAAGAATTGTAAGTGGGTAGTTGTTATTCATGATTATTTAATTGTTCTCTTCCCAATTTGCATAGATGTGGACACATGCATATTGCTTGAATGATATTATTTGACTATTGATCAAAATTTTAGTTGCTTAACAATGACATTTAAATAAACTATTTAATCTAAATGTGCAATGACTCCTAAAACTTGGTGTTTATGGCCATCATCATTATCATTAACCTTGTCCCAATTTTTCGGTATTAATTTTATGAATCCTAATTTTCCATTCATTTTTATTAGGTGTTGCTTGAGATTTTATGCCTATTCTTCACAAATTATTTTAAACAACTTCTTTCCATGATATCTTAGATATTTCCCTTCTCCAAAATCATTTGGCTTTAATTTTATCTACTTTTCTAATAGGTCCATTTTTAACCCTTCATTTTACATGTCTACAACACCTTAATCTTTCTTTCATTTACCATGTCTTTAATAAATACATTTCAATTGTTCCTCTAATATAATTATTTTTTAATTTATCTGTCACACCCCATTTTGACTCCCTTCAGTCAATATAGTGTGTAACAGATATGGAGAATCTGAACAAACATATTTCTTACTAACACTCATCCCGACTTAGTTCTGTTAGGATCAAATAAGTAGGAAATAGCCTCCTTCGGATCCCCATCCTGGCCATAGGATCAAGAACCAAGGGAGGCTAGGATGGCTGGGACGATATTTGATACTCCTCAAACTAGAGAATACAGATTTGTCATTCCCAGCTTGATAATCAATCCTAGAGAAGTAGAGTTATCAAGTCTCTTAGTGCACCATAGAGTCCTTCATTTGATCAAATCTTTGGGATGAATTAGCTTCAGACATTGCCGCGACAAATGATAGTGGTGAAGGCTATATTAATCAAGCTTGAAAGGTGCAGGGTAGCAATGAAGGCTGCGTTGAGCAGTAGCTCTTAAGATACCGGAAATGACAATAAAGGCCAGTGGTGGGACAACAGGGAAAGTGGATTAATTAACCTTTATGTCTGTCTTCTTGGTTCTCAAGGGAAGGCCGTCAATGAAGGCATGGTAGTAGAAAGAAAAAAAAATTTAGGGTTGCGGCAAGCTTCAGGGATAATAACAGAAAAAAACACATCTCAAGTGACTCAGCACTCGACACGCAAATCTCCTACTTCCTAGGTTGTTCGATTGAGCCATCCTTTAGCCCAATGCAAATCAGTCGTCCGCCTCCACCCAAACAGAGTCCTATTCGTTCGGCCCCATACAGGCGCACACAAGGCCTCTAATCCCTGTAGTCCGATGCATGAGGAGGTTTTGTGCTCGACTTCTCTCACTTATGCTCGGTTGACTACGGATGTCGCATGCAGGAATGAATTCCCAGAAGGCCTTTGCTGATGTACAGACGCACAATTTCTCGTCCTGTACAGTCACATACATGCGAATCGAAGCTTTCGCTCGGCTCAGCTCGGTTTCGCGTCAGCCGCACCCAAGAGGAGCCCTCCTGCTTGATCTATCCTTGGTTTTGGACGCAAGAAGGAAGCAGGACTAGTATTCCTCAAAATTTTGGTAATGAAAGCCGGTGGAAGGATCATAATTTCTCAAAATTTTGACAATGAAGGTAGGTGGAACCTGGAGAACTAGCAAGCACCAGTTCCTTCAGGGTAGGATAAAATTCTTTTAATCTCTCTGTAGCCTTCACTCGAGTAGAGGGTACATGAAAAGTAGCCCGCATCAACAAATTAAGTGCAAAATGAGGGACAATGTGCTCTCCTTTTCTAACAGCACCATTTATTAGAATATGAAGAGATTTAGGATTTGCCAAAATACTCTCAATCAACTGCAATGGCAAACCCCTCGTCTGTGGATTACCACTTTCCTATTGGATCCACCACCAGAACTTTTTGGCAAGTTTAGAAGTGTTCCCGTAGATGAATTCCTCAAACAATCAACAAAACTAGCGGCGTTCCTCCTCTATGGTGTCGGGTTGGATGGAGCTACTGTTGATTCCAACGAGTCCTTATGAAAGAGGACGATGGCATTGTTGCATAGAAGTAGGAGATCGTAGAACTTCGCTCTGGAGTATTTAGCTCTCCTCTGCTCCAGCCTAGCACGCATGATCTCCAGATCCATGTCTCCAAATCATGCTATGGTTTCTCGCATTTTCCTGACCCTCGAGCCAACTCAAGAAAACAAATCCATACTTGCTCGATCAGATGATATCAAGGAAGGCGGCCAAAGGTTGCGATTCAATGACAATGATGTGGTTGGCGTTGGTGGCGATGAGTGAGATGGCATCATCTTCACCTCCTTGGCTACACTGCTACTGTCGAAAATTGCTTTCTGTTGCCTCCGCTGACGGTGCCTCGATAGGCTAACCGAACTCTGCACATTGCTGCTCTCTTTCTCGCTGGCTACTGACTCCTCAAATTCCCCCCATTCCGACCCTTTTGATAAAGTCTACGAGCTCATGTTGTATAAAGCTTCATGAGCTGGCCCAGTTAACATACTATGACCAACAGCTTTCGTTGTCTTCTATGGCTCCGATTCCTCTCCACCTGTGTCTGCCTTCGCTTTCTTAGCCTTTGGATTCATCGAGTTCGACTCCTTACTCTGATATAATGTTAAATTCCAAGAATCAGAGAGGGAAAATACTTAATTTTATTACATAAAACTATCCCTATTTATAGATCTGTACAAAATATCTTTATAAAGAAACAAATACTACAAAATCATGCATAAGTACCCTAATATATAAATCAGCCACCCGAATATATGGAAGGAGATCGTCGTGATCTAGGTGAGCCTCTGACGGATCCCCATCCTTACCATAGTATCAAATCCAAGGGATTACTAGGATGTTTGGGACAATATTTGACACATAATGTCCTTAGATTTATCTCTTTTCTTTTTAATCTCTTCGACACAAGCAAGATTTATTCTTTTTTTGAACATTCTATTTATGAATTCACTTGTCTTATCATTTAAAGCTCTCAAATTTCATGTAGCAAATTTAATATTTGTTTTAGGCCTAGTCAAATCTTGCTTACTTTTCATCACAATCAAGGTAAGTTATGGTGCATGCCAATCTTTGTTTTTCATCATAATCGGGTTAAGTTTTGCAACCTCATTTAGGGGTGTTGCTCTAGCAATCCATTACCCCAATCAAAATAGGTTATGGTGAGTCACTTCTATGGAAGCACAAGCAAAATTTAAAATTGGAATTATTTTGGTATTTTTGACATTTAACTTTATGTGAGCTATCAACCTATCAAACATCATCTCCCTATTTTTTTCATCTGGGCTTGCGGTCGAGAATGGCAGTGTTTTTATGTATTCATTATGGAGATTATAAATAGGAAGTGTGAAAATGGTGGAAAACAAAATGCTTACTTGCGAAATCATTCCTTTTTTTTGAAAAAAATGCTGAAGATCTCTTGCTGTATATTATTTTGATGGTATATTCATTATCAAATATATGGTTTCTGCACATGCATGTGTTTATTTTGAAGCTTATTTCATTAGTTAAGGAAATTTGATGGTTTGTTTTAATTTTTAAGAAAAATGATTGATTTTTCTGTCCAGCATTCTCGAAACCTCACTCTTTGCCTATTTATTATGTGATCTGTGAACTGTTAATGGGTTTCTTCCATTATCACTGGTGTGGACCTCATTATTTTTATCCCATGCAGCTTAATTCAGCAGACGCAGAAACTCTTTATGGAGAAGAGTAGCTCTGATGATACAAGAAATGTATGCATGCTTTCCGTTTTCATCATTTTGATATTACGTAATGAATTTTATTAGATGTAGCGTCTCTTATAAACTTCTTAGCCTAAATTTACTGGCTAGAACTATTGTCGTTGATTAATTGAAATAATTACTAATATGTTCTTGTAGTTTTTTATGCTTAAAATTATATTAACATGATAAGGGTCTTCATTTACGTCATATTGACAGCTTTAGTCGCCTTCTGATTACATACAATGAAGTTATTTGCTGAGGTTATGGTAAGGTTCATATTTGTATCTGAGCCTTGTAAGTGTTAGCCATCTTCTTTACTGCACTTCTTAAGATGGTGATTCTATATTGTGTCTTAATTTTAAAATTTTGTTTCCAGTTTAAAAACATGCCTGGTATTTTGAGTTGCCTGTTAGCTTAGCCCATGGTTTCAACTCGGCTCATGAAATTTCAATTAGCAAGTATTGTGTTCATAATCATTCAAATAATGTGAATTGCTAATTATTCCCTATGGCAATTCCTTAAGTCAATTGTTATGTATTCCTCTTATCCATCACTAATGTCCACTATGCTCTAGTTCCACTATCCTACATTCTGTCTTTGCCTCTATTGACACTTTCTTCTCCTTTTAGTTGCTACAGTGCTCCCGCTGCTTAACTTGCTGCTTTATTATTTCCTCTATCATTCTCGCTATATGCTGATCATTAGGAAGCTGATCCTTTTCTTGTAAATCCTTGATGTGTAAGAGATAGAACTTGGGAGAACTTTTCAATGAAGCAGATTTTATATTTTTAAGTAATATTTGCCCTAATATTTTGATCAATGTTTATTTATATCTGGGATTGAAACTTTCTAATGCTGCAGCACTCTCTATTAAGGAGTTTGTATAGGTTCATTTTAATTGTTAGATTTAATGCTTTAGTTTGAGTTGGATTAATGGGGAATGGTTGGGTAGATGAAGATAAATCTGATTAAGATCATCATAATGTTGTCATCCTAGTATACGATATGACCCATTTATCAACTCTAAAGGGCTTTAAGATGTCATGTTCAGGGAGTTTGATTATCAGCTATGGGTTGCCCCCCGTCATATATCTCTAAAAAATCAAGGTGGAAATGCATTTATGTGCAAAACATGTGCGTTGAGATTGTTGTTAACTATTTACTAGAAGGGAGTTGGCCGTATCGATTTTGTTGAATAGTTTAGAGGAGAGGCATGAGCTACTTGCAGTTTTGAGGTACTAGATATGGCCAACTAGAACTTACGGCATGGCATTACTATTAATTGTTCATAAGTTTCATCTTCACTTGAAAAAACATGCCTAAGTCATAAAGTTTGATTGGTGGGCTTGTTTTGATTAATGGGCTTGTTAAAGCGAGAGTTGGCCCAAGTTTACTTTGGGATGGGGCTTACAATCATTGAAAGACCCATAAAGAGATTCACAATATCAAGGTTAAGGAAAGATTAATGATGAGCCTTATGATTTTACCTTATTGATAAGGTGACCCATTTGGTTAATTTTTTAGGCTTCCCGGCATTGTGTTGACTTGTTAATATTGTGATAGTGCTTACATCCTATCGAAGGCCCATTATATATCATTTAAGATCTTAATATGTGTTTTATGTCTAGAATAAACTTAATTTGAAATGTTGAACTTATTGTTTTGTTTATAAGTTGGCCAAAAGGTTAGTGCTTAAAATCTTATTCTTCAGCATGTTTACATATGGGACTTACAGCTCAAATATTGAAATCAACCCACTATGTGTCTTATAATCTCACCTTATAAATAAGATGACCCACCCAATGTGGTTCTGACAACCTTGCCTTGTTGGCAAGCTGACTTAATGTTGACCTTGCTTATGGGCAAAACAATTCAATTGTGGGTCTTATGACCTCACCTTGTAGGTAAGGCAGCCTAGTTGGTTAGAAATCTTTTTATTTTAATGTAATGTGTATTTTAATATGTATATTGAGATGATTCGCAAGGATCTTCGGATCAACTGGAGTTAAGAAGGTCATACATGAATTTTAGGTTTATTTGCCTAACCAACCGGATTGACATCATTTATTTTTAAATTAAGGTTCTTGAGCACAATTGTGGTTTGGTCATGAGAAGATATTTTTGTTAGTTGGCCCTTGTGGAGGCATTACAATCATTTTGTTTACTTAAAGGTCTATTGAAGCTTTTGACACAAGTTTCAAATTGTTTGAGAATTTTGAATGTATTAACATATTTTTTAGTGCATCAATATGCTAGAAATGAATGTAAATTGTTGCATGCCATATATGGATATTTAGGAAGTCCATAAAGTTGTTTTATTTCCTTAATGTTAGTGTGTGCATTTGGTGAATGGGCGCATTTTTTAAAATTGCACATCGAGTTGGATCAAGGCTAGCAATGGACAGGTATCATGGGCAAAATATCCCAAACTACCATATTTTAATAATATTGGTGACACTAGAATTGCAAGGGAAACAATTATCCGATGATAATTCAACAGCTACTACTAGATTTTTTATCATATGTAGTTCTTGACAAGAAAAATATTACGCACTTGAACCCCGATCAAAGTTCAAGGAGGAAAATTTTTGACCCTCAAAAGTTTTAAATTTTTGTTAAAGAAAAGATCAACGTTCAACTATGCAAAGTGATTTTCAATCTTGATTAGAATAAAGTTCAACAATCAAAGACACTTGAATCGCGAAGCAATCCATCATTTGATAATAGTTTGATAGTCACTTCTAAGATTTTTGATCATAAGTAGTTGATGAGAAAAATATCATTGCCTTGAATGCAAACCAAAGTTCAGCTAAGGGAGGAAAAATTCCAACCAAATCAAAGATTGATAGCTCAGAGGTTTCCCAATTTTGATCGCATGAAAGATCAATGATGGGGGGGGGGTGATAATCTACCCTGGTCTAATTAAAGATCAATGATAACAAGACTTCACATTAATTGAATCAAGGATCAACGACCCTTCAAACTAATTTGATTGAAGATCACCGACCACGCTTTAAACCAACTGTATATAAGATCAATGGTTCTTCAAAATTTTGATCCATGCATTTATGCACGATGATATTATTGAGGAAGAGATGATTGAAAATTATACATGTGCTTGCACATAAGAAAGAAGTTAAGGAGTGAGTTCATTATGTGTTTGGTTGTGATATTTGAAGAAGTTGAGCTTGACATCATTAAATTCTAGATTGGGAGCAAAATCAAGAGAGGGGGAAATGTGCTTTTATACAAGATAGGAATCAGGAACGAGAGTATGGGAGGCTTTATATGAGGCAGGGTGTGGGAGAGAGGAGTAAGAGGTGCATCACATGCTTGTTGGTTCATGTGTTAGAGAACGGCACGAGGATAAGGTGATTGGAGTGGCTAGTTTGGCGCGAGGAGTTGCGTGAATTTCGAATGAGAGACTTGACTTTTTGGGGGAGTTTGCAAAAGGTGCTGGGCGAAGCTTATGTGAGAAAGGGTGGAATGAGATCCAAGAGATTAAGAAGTGTCAGCATGAGAGATGAAATTCGGGATAGAGATGTTATCTTCTATAAAAGAAAAATATATGGTTGTTAAAGGAGGGAAAAAATAGAGTTGGTTGATCTATTGTTTCAGAAGACATAGGGAATATCTATGGACCAAAAAGTTCCTAAAAGAGTGCCAAGAATTCTCTTTCTAATGAAGATGATAGGAAACACTAGTATTCACAAGTGTTCATAGCCAAAATCAGTAAATTGCTGCAGTTTTATTTGTCCACAACAGGAAATTGCCCAAAAACAGCGGAAAACAAGAGATATTCGCTAGAAATCTGAAATAAAACTAAGCAAAATACTTGTATTTCACTAATAGAAGAACAAAAACAGCAAGATACAATTGATCCTCAATTCGAGAGGAGGATCGATCTCTCCCAAATCTCTAGCAACGCCAAGAGCCCAAAAAAAACCTAAATCTAAGAGATCTCAAATTTCTGTCAAATTCAAGATACCCAAACCCTAGAAAAATCAACTATTTAATGCATACAATTCAAAATGAATTCACTAAACAGTCCCTACAATCAATTTCCCTCCTAAACTTCCTCAAATTTCCTTCCTAAAACAGTCCCGCAAGGCGCGCGTCTCGCGCGGCCTCCTCCCAGGCGAAAGCTTTCGCCGTTTCGTGTATGGGCCGGTCCCGCGTGGACTGGCTGGACCGGTCCAGTGGACCAGTCTAACAGAAGAACACAAGAAAAGCCATCCCTGCCGTTGATTCATATTCTTTCCAAGAGGATGAACCATAAAATTAGGATTAGAAGCCCAAAGCTACAGGGAAGAGAAGATAGAGTAAGGATAAAAAAAAAAAAAAAAAAAAAAGAGAAAGCTTATTTGCAGGAGCAAATTAACTAAAATGGGGAGCTATGATCTGAGAAGATCTTTTTGGAAATTTTTCTCATATTACATTGGATATGAAGATAAGTCCCTAGGAGTCCACATGTTAAGATAGATCATCAATCAAATGTAATAGGAGGGAAGATCAAGGCCAGAAAGTCTGGACTATTGGATCAAAATCTAGATAATTACTTGCTAAGTATGACTTTTAAGTGTTAAAATTGCGTTGGATAAGTTTGTTTTCTTAATTTTAAATTCTAGTTAATATTTTAATTTATTTATTTTTTAGTTTAGAAAATATAAGGTTCTTTATTTTCTGGAATTAGTTTGGGTAGGGTAAGATTCCTTCTATTGCGGAGAAGATAAAGTCAAGTTCAAACTAATTCTTGCTGTAAATTGCCTATAGGCATAGATTTCTTCAATGAAAATCAATCCAAAATTGTTTTCCTATTTTCCCCTTCCCTTGGCTAGACATTGTAGCAAAACTAGCACTATATTAAAGTCATTGTAGCTGGCCATGATTCTGCAACAAAGATATTGTAGCAATTCTCAGGTTCTATAGCAGCAACGGTATTGTAACAAAGAATTGAACTCTGACGTTAGCTAAAGGGGTAGAGGGTTTCAGGAGCAGTTCGAATCTTGTAAAAAAGGAAGGAAAGGCCTTTACTTGCTATTTTTGGAGAATACTTAAGGGGGTAAAAATCTTAATTCCTTCATAGTTCCTTTGGGAACCCTAGTCTTCAACTTCAGGTTTTAGAAGTATTCAGCAAATTATCATGAATCATTTAAGACAAGTGCAATATAATCATTTAAAAAAAAAACTGTTATTGTGTGTAATTCATATAGATAGGTCAGCAATTGCAGCGTAATCAAAATAAGGTGATAGTTGTACTTAGTTTAACCAAATAAAGAACTAAACAAGTATCCAGCATCTTTGGAATTTAGTGTACTACTGTAAATTTAATGGTTTGGTTATGGATGCTCTTACTAGACATTTGCTAGAGGTTGTATTTTGGTGTATGCTTTTTGCAGATGCTATTCTTCTGGTTGATAAGACCAAGGACGGAGTTGAAGGTAAACTTGAATTATGGACATCAACTTTAGAGTCTAAAGGTTTTCGTTTGAGTTGATTTAAAATTGAATATATAGAGTGTAATTTTAGTAGTAATAGATCTAGTGGAGGAATTGTGACTTTGGGCGATCAAGACATTAACAAGAGTACACGTTTTAGATATCTTGGGTCTATTGTTCAGAGTGATGGTGAAATAGATGATGATATTATTAGTACAATTCAAATTGGATGGTTGAAGTGGAGGAATGCATCGGGCTTGTTATGTGATAGAAAAGTCTCCCCTTAAACTTACGGGAAAATTCTATAAGATGGTGGCAAGACTTGCATCACTTTATTGTTCAGAATGTTGGACATTAAAAGAGAAGCATAATATTAAGTTAAGTGTTGCAAAGATGAGGATGCTTAGGTGGATTAGTGTATTTACTCTTAGAGACAGGATACGAAATGAGCATATACATGAAAAGGTTGGAGTAGCTCCAGTGGAAGATAAGATTAGAGAGAGCACCTTAGATGTTTTAGTCACATAAAATGGCGGCCTCCGATGACTTGATTTGGAAAGTAGATGTATTAAATTTGGCTTATGTTAAGAAAGATAGAGGTAGACCTGAAAAGACTTGGTTAGAAACTATTAGAAATGACCTTTCTTTGTTAGATTTAAATAAGAATTTGATTTTTAACCGGACACGATGGAGAAAAAGGATTCATGTAGCGGACCCCACGTAGTGGGGATAAAAAGCTTGATGTTGTTGTTGTACTATAAATTTAATGCATGCAGCTACTACATCTATACATAATACATGGACGGAAAGCATTAACATCTAGCTTGATATTGAATTTAAAAGTATCATTAGCCATTTAGCCCTTGGTTGAAGATGATTAAATTTATTGCTTTCATAATCAATAACAAAATCACCTATTCATCTAGCATCCATAATTATAACTCATCACCAAGAATTATATAATCATAGCAATGAGCTAAGCAACCTTTGAAGTTGAATCCTGGAAGAAAAATAACCAAAAATAAGCTTATAATCAATAAAACTACTGTTTTAACAACAGAAGTACCCAATAACTTTATTAAATTCAAAATAATTTTCTGTAAGCTGATCCAAATAGTGAATTAACACTATTAATGATGATGAAGAAAATTCAATAGGTGTAAGAAACAATAAACAACATTCAAAATAATCAACAAAAGAATCAAGATAATTTGAGTGTGGTAAGATCTTCACTGGGAGGTTCTTGTGGTTTTCAATTTTTGTTAATTTTTGTCAGTTTTATGTAATATATGCCAAATTTTGTGCAGCAAAATGGGAGATTCTCTATATAAGAATTATAGATATTTATACTTTCTTTTTCTAGCCAATTTGCAACCCAACATGATATTGGTGATTATAGAGCACTATGATTGTCTCAGATGCCACAATTGGCTAAATCTGTGCTCCTAATTTACGGAATAATTTTACCTAAACGTACTCTGAAAGTGCCACTATGCAGTTTATATTATCATTAAAACTAGATATTTCACTTAATAAACTAAAATTTAGCTTCCTGATATTCAGATGGGTTTCCAGTTTGCGGGAAGAGCTGTATATACTGCTGTATGGATTGCTGCAGTTTCTTTGTTCATGGAGTTGCTGGGTTTTTCAACTCAAAAATGGCTCACTGCTGGAGGTCTTGGAACAGTGCTGCTGACCCTAGCTGGACGTGAGGTATTTTTTTTGAATGCACATCATCTTTCGTCATGGTGGATACTTAGGACCCTTACACATGGATGATTTTGTGATGCAGATATTTACAAACTTTCTGTCAAGTGTCATGATCCATGCTACTCGTCCATTTATCGTAAATGAATGGATCCAAACTAAGATTGAAGGATATGAAGTTTCCGGAACTGTTGAGGTTAGACTTGAGATAATATTTTCAAGTTAATTGTACTATAAAATTTCTAGATGGGCATGTAATTTTTAATTGGTCCTCATACTTAATTCAAAATGAATTAGCTGGTGCATTTACATTCATCAAACATGTTTTTGTATCATGATTATACTTCCCATTTCAGTCAATTGAATTCTCATCCTTTAAGTAGTTTAATTTCTTGGCTAAAATTGCTATTTTGAACTAGATTCTTATTGTTTTCCTAACACAAGGTTACAGTTCCTTACACAGTCATTATACTCAACTTTTGATTCTTTTCCTTTCAGCATGTAGGTTGGTGGTCTCCTACAATTATTAGAGGTGAAGATCGGGAAGCAGTTCATATTCCTAACCACAAATTTACAGTTAACGTTGTCAGAAATCTTAGTCAGAAGACTCATTGGCGTATAAAAACCCATCTTGCAATTAGCCATTTGGATGTTAATAAAATTGGTGTAAGAATTGCTCTGTTTTTTTATTCAGTTTTAATGAATGTTTGCAGTCTTTCTGCTAATTTCTTAGAATTTTTTGTTCTCTTTAGTTCTGTCTTAGTGTCGAAGTCTTGCTCTTAAAACTTATATTTCTGTGCAGAGCATTGTAGCTGACATGCGAAAAGTTCTTGCAAAAAATCCTCAAATAGAGCAGCAGAGACTGCACAGAAGAGTATTTTTGGATAATATTAATCCAGAAAATCAAGCTCTTTTGGTACAATACTGCCCAGATACCCAAAAAAAAAAGAGCATCTTTATAACACTTCTGAGTTTGTATATTTAGTGGTCCTGCAGCTTTATACCATCCTTTTCAAACTGAGCATGGCGTCCGTGAAATTACATTTAGCAATTTTTTTTATTATTATTGCTTTTTAAATGCATCTCTGTTATGTTTACTTCTTGCAACTTTTAATAAGAGGTCTCTTCAAGTTTGTCATGGTAAGGCCAAATAGAAGCTTTGTGCCCTGAAATATGGCTAAACATCTGCAAAACTCCTATCTCCCATCAACCCCATTCTAATACTACATGCATTGCCACCATGAGGGTTTTTAGTGGTAAACATCCAGTGGTTGGAAGTGGCGTTTTGTGGAAACGATGGCCATCATTTAACCTTGGCATTGTTGTGACAGGTAGGAGTGCCTTCCTTGGCCTTTGAGTCATTTGTGATGGTACTGGTTGGTGGGATGGTGGATAAAGGGGAAGGGTAGATTTACGGAAGCATGTTGTGTGTCAATAATACACCTATGGATGGATGCATGTGTGCCATGCTTCCATGGTTTGGTCAATACCACCATAGTTTACTAATTCATATGGATGGATGGCTTAATGTGTGCTATGATTCCATGGTTTGGTCAATACTACCATTGTTTACTCATAGGTTATCATTTAGGTTTTGTTTGAGATAGTTTTCTTATTGTTTTTTTAGTACAAAAATTTCTTGAAAGCAACTTAAAAGTAATGATCAAAAGTTGTCCCAAACGAAATCATAGTAAATCGGAGAACTTTGTAGTGTATATTTGTTATTTTTTATGTTTGGTGGTTTTATGAAAGATGTATGTTTTGTACTCGCTTGTAAGTTATAGCAGCTAAATTCATATATTATATTTGCTGTGTTAAAAATTGTCTTTGAATGTCAATAGAGTTTTAGTTTGTGGGTCATTTCAAGCATGATGTTGTGTTTTGCACACAATTAACAAAACACGAGGTCAACAGCTTGCCTAAGAAATTTTTCTTAGGGAAGATACTTTGATGCTCAAGTCAACAACTAAGGTTAAAGGTGAATGAGAAGTGAAATTAATTCAACTGAGTTTTCCCATCGGGGTGAAGAGAGAGGGTCAAATTAATGAGCTTTGAGGAGGAGAATGAGAGTTAGAATTCTTGATCTTCTTTTGGAAGGGGGTATTTATAGGGTGAGGACGAGTAATAGTTTAATATTTTTATTGAGATTGAAGTATATGTAAGAGATGCCTCATCTTTGAGATTCATTTTGGATAGAAATGACTGGCTAAAAGGCAATTTGGTCCTTAGGCCGATAATGAGATTAAGAAGCAAGACATCTTGTCTTCAAGATCTATGCTCAATTTCCCCATGGTGTTGCTTGACCTTAAGCCTTAAGATCTGTGCCATTGGAGATCAAAATCAAGCTATAGAATGGCTTGATGAATGGTGTTCGGTATGACTGGAGTTGGATCTTTGAATTTTGTAATTCAACCACCTTAATGTTGGTGTAAAAAATCGCTTTTATACCATTAGCCTACTTTCTTTTCTGAGTCAATAATGTTGGGCATGAGTATGAGAATATGATATGACCAACTCCAGACTTAAGCCCGATGATCGCTATATTTGACAAATTCCTGAATTAATAAATATGTCCATCAGTAGCAAAAAGGCACCAACTTTATTAGGACTAACATGTATTTGCAACTGAATCTTGAGTTAGCTAGAATCTTGCATTTGTTCATGCATAACGTATTACACATCACCGCTAATGTGCCTTAACGTTGATGTAATTTTCCAACACAAAGCACAACACCGTCCACAATCTTGGAACACTTAACCCGACATAATCACATAAGCATCAACTAAATCATTCAAATGTTTTAGATATAAAAAATGAATGGATGCAATACGAGATGACATGATTAATTTACCTTTATTATGGTTTCCTTAAACTTAAAATCATGCATTATTATTACTGCCATATTGTGAAAGCAAAAGCCAAATTTGTATTTCTGCTATTTAGATGGTTATATATCTTTAGACACTTGAATTGCTTAACACAAATTCTGCAGGTGTTTAATTTCCTATAAAATCCTGGTTTATATCTGTCTTATTCACATGGTAGGGACTAGGTACTCTTCTGCACTTAAATTTCTTCTAGATATTCCATTTATATAGGTCCTATTAGCCATGATCTCCTTTAACTGAGTCTAAGTAACCATGACTTGAAGTATCTGCAATAACCATGACATGAAGTATCCTATGTTTTCCATGTTGGCATAATAAATTCAACTTACCCATGTAACTTCTGAATATGGAACTACTTCGAACATTTCATGTTATAATTCCACACATGTGATATACTGGATTTATATATTTTTTAGTTATTTGTACCCATTGACTTGGATCTGTTATACGAGTTATCCTTTAATCTTCTGTTTCTCTTGCACTGTATTTTGCAGATTCTTGTCTCGTGCTTTGTTAAGACTTCACATTTTGAGGAGTATCTGTGTGTCAAGGTAAGAATATTCTATTTCTCAAGTATGTAAAAGGCCAAATTCAATCTGCAATTTCGGCATTTCATTTTTTATTTCTTTGGATGTGGCACTAGCGTATTAGCTCAACATTTAATAAGTTATGTGCCATATAGAAAGTTCTTAGTTACAATAATATATGAATACAACCTCATTTAGTGTCAGATGCACTATGGAAGCTACTAGTAATACTCGTTCCTTGTTTTCTACATTTGTTCCCTTATTTTAAGTGTAGGTTAATTTAAGAGATTGTGGATTTATTTTGTTTAATTTTTCTACTAATTAGACCTTTAATCTGTCACACCCCAATTTAACCCCTCAACAATCAAACTAGAGTGTAATAGAGAAGAAGAATCTGAATAGATACTCCATTCTGAAACGTTGATATCATAATTAGATATGTTGAAGGCAAATTAGATGATATTTATGCAAAAAATAGTGAATTTTGGGTTATGCTTGTTCGTATCATATTTTCCCTAACAAAGAAAATTTTTTTCCATTTATGAGTGGTGTGCTAGTGGGTTATATTTATATGGAAAAAAAATGTAATGTGCAAGATATTTGGTTTTGACATAGTGAAGTTGAGAAATGGGTTATGTTGCGACTAGGTCATTGATTGGAGTTATGCATGTATTATAATATGATACGTTGGATTGTTTTTAACGAAGTTGGATATGATTTTTAAGGAGATGTTAAATTTATTAAAGTTTGCAATTGTGTATTAGCTTCCATAAAATTAAATTAAATAGATTTAATTTACCATATGTATTACAAGGTGCAAGTTCAAGCAAAGCTTCTTCAATTTCTGTCTTCTTTTGTGTTGGAGCACTGTGACTTGTGCAATTAGAAAAAATGTTAGCTTCATAGCTTCAGTTCAAGTTCCACAATCTAGGAGGACAATGGTTGATGGGAGAACTATTGAAGTTGATCTAATGGATCAATCTAATGCTGTAGTTGGTGCCACTTTTTGGTCTTATCATTCACAGATTCAATGCGAGGTGACAGCCACTTCAGGTCTAAGAAGATTCACTGATTATTGCTCTTTGAGTAACAGTATATTCATTTTAGTTTGCAATAGATGTGCTTAAGAGAGCTCTTTCAAGTATTGAGTTTGAGCATCATTTGGGCTTTGTGTGGCGGCCTAGTGTTTAACTCTTCGGGTCTTTAGGAGCTTTATAGAGCCCTATTTGCAGAAGTTCAACAGGAAAATTTAAAATCTATTGCTATATTGTTGATTTAATGGGAGAGTTCTTAGATTTTCTCTAAAAAAAATTGTCTTGATAAGCACAAATCCAAAACTAGTAGTTACAGGATAAAACAAAATGATTCTTTTGTTCTTCGTTTCATTATAAAATTTGGGGGAAATTAGCTAGTGGTTCGTGTGTTGATTTATTATTTACTCCAATGACTTTTTTTGTTGCCTTCGTTTCTAGGCTACACATTTATTCTTAATTTCTTTTTTTCCTATGGTCATTTCCCTTAAAAAAGAAACATCTAAATTGCCAATTATACCATTTCTAATAACTAGATTCAAAGAACCAGTAATCATATTCAACTTAGGAATACCTAGATTTAAACATTTACTTTTAATAATTAGATTATCCTAGGTATCAACTATATTCATATTTTGAATAACTAGATCTTCCTAGGATAAGCAATGCTTAAATCACCAGATGCATATATAGCTAGTAATCAGATACAACTTATAGATAATTAGATACATACACTTATATTTATGATATTCGGATCAACACACAGAATATCTGCATTAAAATTTTGAGTAACTAGGTCCTCTTAGTGGTGATGGCGGGTTTACTTTCTGAGATGATGATGGTGAAGAAAAACTCCATGTGGTCAAGCTTGATGCAGTACGGGGACAAACTATGTTAGACCGGTATGGACCGGCTCACGGAGACATGAAGCGGAACCCGTCCGCCTTCGATATGTGGGATCCGACCGCTCGTTCTCTACAAAGCTGTTTAGGAAGGATTTTGAAGGAAGTTTAGGAGGGAAATTGAATATAGGGGCTGTTTAGGGATTTCCTTTTGATTTGTATGCATTAAATAGTTTGTTTTCATAGGGTTAGGGCATCTTGAATTTGGCTGAAATTTGAGATTTTTTTTTATTTCTTTTGGGCTCTAGCGGAGTCTAGAGATCCGGAGAGAACGATCCTCCTCTCGAATAGATGATCAATTGTATCTTTCTATTTTCCGTTTCTATTTCATCAAATAATATAAATTTCTACTATTTACCTGGTTTTGTGTGGATTTTTGTGGAGAATTTTAGCTGTTTTCCGAAGATTGATAGGAAATACTTGAGATCTGTAAGTGTTTCCTATCAACCTACTAACAGTGATGTGGTTGGTTCTCCGACAGTTAGAGGTCAACAATGGACAATTGAGGCATGGGCGTTGAGCACACCATTTTTTCTAGTGTGGCTAGAACATCGATTATAAAGCCTTAGTTGAGCCTTATAAACAGGGGAGAATGGCACGGGCTTGTTAAGAGAGCAATATAATATTCATCTTGCCTCTCATGATTGATGAATCTCATTAATTTTAGGCTTCATTAGGGACAGCTTTCTTTCTGCTTCTTAAAGCCGTTTTCTAGTACAAAAAAATTATTTTTGTACTAGAAAGCTGCTTTAAGAAGCAGAAAGAAAGTCATCCCAAACGAAGCCTTAGTGTCTTCTTGTGACGTACTCGAGTCTTTTTGTTATTACTTTTCCTGGCAGAAGCTTTGGCTAAAAATTATTATTTTTCCTTACGGACTGAGAATCTGTCTTGAATTTACTACATAAAGCTTGACTTTGGTTAATATGATAGAACTTCAAGGAAAGCTATGATTTTCATGAATTACCACTATCATGTAATATCTTTATTCTTGCTCTTATTTTGTTTGCTCTTGCTAAAAATATAATCAGGAAGCCATCTTCCTGGATCTCCTGAGAGTAATCAGCCATCACCGAGCCAGACTCGCCACGCCGATTCGCACCGTCCAAAAGATATATGGTGATGCTGGTGTCGAAAACATCCCATTCGCAGATACCATATTCACTCGTGCCGATGTCGCCAACCGTCCATTGCTTCTGATTGAACCTTCATCAAGAATCAATGGTGATGAAAAGATGAAACCCCGCTCTTCAGGACGAACAACTGATGAACAACAACAAGGAACAAAAACCTCAACTTCTGAACCCAAGGTGACTTCAGCTTCTGAAAGCCACCCCGAGAAGCACCAACAGAAAAAAGTTAGTTCTGGAGAAACTCAGTCAAAGAGTATCAAAGCTGATTCTTCCAAATCACCAACCACAACAGTATCTTCACAACAGTCAGCCACAGTTCCTCCACAAGCTAAAACAAGTGGGGAGAAGTCTGTTGCTGCATCAGAATCCCTTAACGAAAAGGTGGATGGCTCACCTGCTACTGTTCCTAAGAGCGACGGCGATCGATCGCCGTCCGATTCAAGTGTGTCGGCGAGGCCATCGTTCGAAGATAATATTGTTCTTGGTGTAGCTCTTGAGGGCTCAAAGAGAACACTTCCAATTGAGGAAGTGGAGGTTAAAGAAGTAGGGGCAGCTGTAAGTGGGAATGGAGCTCCTGCTACCTCCAATGTGAAGGATAGGAAGAATGAGGTGCCTACCAAGGACAGGTAAGTAGTTATACTTCTATTGTTTCTTTAGTATGATTCATGTTTGTTTGAGATTCTGAAACTGGTTATATTAAATTGGTGTACAGACCCAATGGTAAATATAATATGTCAAAAGTATAATCTTCAGGTATAGAAGCTTAATTTTTTGTATTTGCTTTGTTATATGGTCCTTAGATACTGATTAGCCTTTTGCTAACACAAATGAAATATACATTTAGTGGTTTCTAATGATTAGGTTTGTAATTTCTGGGTAATATTTAAGCAGCTGATATTTGTGATTTGATAGGAAGTGGAGTATAATAGTATTAGTGAAAGACATTCTTGCTATTTTTTCACTGTTTTGGGCAGCTTCAAAGTAGTCCACCAACTTTATTTATGACAAATTTAATCTTGAAGTATTATTTTGCTTCAATTTAGTCTCCCTTGATTATATAAAGTTTATTCAAAATGATCTTGTTGGGATTAAATTATTAATTTTATATCACAATATAATATGAGAGATCTCATTTTGAATCAATTTTGTATAACTAAAGGATTAAATTGGAGCAATATGATATTTTGAAATTAATTTAGCCACATAAAGTCTGAGGATTATTTTGAGAATTTTCTTTTAGGGGCTATTTGGTGTTTGATTGGATAAAAAATAAATTCAAGGTAAAGTAAATGTATTGTATTTCATTCTAGTTCATTTTTGAGCTAAATTATTCTCGTCCAGTTTTGACTGAGAGCTATTTACACCACTTCAAAGTTTGCTTGACTACCTTCGACAATCACCTTCTCCACTGCCACCCTATTGTCGACAGCCACCTAACACTGTCTACTGTCGTCGCCGACCACTCTGCACACAATTTTTTACATTTTATATTGCAGTCACTTTAATTCAAAAAAGAAAAAAAAAAGTAAATTTATGCATTCCTTTATACTCATCCAAACAAATCCAAAATATTTCTTTTACACCATATTTTTTTGCATTATATTTCTTTTCATGCAATCAAATAGCCTCTTAATGATATAAGGCAGGGTGAATGCATATTGAGTTTATATTTTAAATCATGATATAAGAAATGGATAAATTAAATAAATATTGAAATGAATATAATGATTTTTATAGTAACAAAAATTATTAAAGAGGCTTTATATCACTTGAGACAAATTGCCAGTATAAAATGATAGCCTTCTTTCTAAAAAGTTTTGAATTCAGAAAAGTAAGAGAGAAAAGTCAACGGTCAATTAAGTTGGGAATTTTTCTATAATTTTGTCTGTGGAAGAACACTTCACTGACTGTATAATAAATAATGAAAGTAAAACCAAATCTGCCAATGTTAATTTGTCTCATTATTTATTGAAATAGGCTGAAAATATTGACATTATTGCCCTATCCTTAGCATATATTTCCTACTGCAACTGTCACTCCTAATTACGTTTGATAATCAATTTATAAATATATATATAAAGGTAATTAAGTTAATAATGACATGTTAAACATTAATTTTCTGATTAATCATTTGGTAATTAACTTTATTGAAGTCTTCATAGATGTGCTGCAAATGTCATTTATTTAAGTAAAAAAGACAACATCTACCATCTAAAGTTTATAATTAAAAAATAAATAATATAATATTGGTTATAACTTTATCTTTCAGTTTGCAGATCTTCTCCTAAATTATCAAGCTAGTTTGCACTAACTTCTATTAATCCAATATACTTAAAGCGGTTATTCGGTTGAAAATATTGATATTTCGTTAGATGAAAAGGTATGCATGGTAAAGTAAAACGAATGCATTGTAAAATATTTTAGATCATGTTTGAGGTAAGATGAACTCATTTGGTTTTGTGCAAAACTATTTTCACTGCAAGCAAGCTCTATTGTCGTCGCTGTCAATGGCCGCCAGCCACTGCCACCCTCCATTGCATGGCCATGGCGCTTCACAATGGATGGTGATGGTAGCTTGCAGTGATAGTGATAAAGATCATTTACCAATGATGGTGATGGGTGGCATACTGCGGCGGTGTTATCAGCGACATCATCAATAGCAATGGTTTTCAATACTGAGCGATGGAAAATTTATAATATATTTAAAAATCGGACAAATCAATTGATTTTAAAATACACTCAAAATAAAACCGATGGGACGTGTGGGGCAGCTCCGTGGTTGAGCACAGTCATTGTCTCCCCGCCGGCTCCCGTTCGATTCCCCAAACTGGCCCAAAAAAAAAAACCGAGTGTGAATTTCAAATTCACCAATGACTATTTTGTATTTTAAATGTAAAAAATACATGCTTTTTGATTTACATCAATACACTAATGCAAAAAATTCTTAAATCCATTAGAAAAAATTTGGAGATGAAATAATCATAAATAGAAATATATGCTATTGATATAATTTTTTATAAAGGTGATTGAATAATTATTGTGAAGAAAGCAACTTTTTGAAAAGTTGTTTTAGAAAATAGTTCCCTAACACAAAATTTGTTGAAGATAGAAAAAAAAAATAATCAAACAAAGATTATAATTTCGTTTTAATTTTTTGTCTTAAAAAAAGCAGTCGTCCCAAACGAAGTCTAAGATTATACTCTTAAAAACAAAAATAATCAAAAATTAACTTAAATAAAATCTTAATAGCCTTCGTTGACATGGCCATTTATATAAAAATCGTCAAATAATAAGACATTTTTAGTTCCAACTTTTTTGGTTCAGTGTTCTGCTGGCAAAGCCCTCGTCCACATAACACTGAAGCCGAGTAATAATAAATGTCAAAACGTTGACTAAGTAAGCTCGGTAGGTTACCGCTAAAGAAGACGACTTGTTCCACACACGGAGTTCAACGTTTGAACGCCACGCCCTTTCAGACCACGCCGTCTCCCCTCTTCTATAAATTCAGTCTCTTCCCCCCAATTCTCTTCTCAACGACCAAAGCTCCCATCTTCAGATCTTCTGAAACCAAAAGCAAGAACAAAATCCCAACTTTCCCTCTCCCTCTCTCCTCCTCCCTTACAGCGTCGCCGGTAAGAGAAGATGTGTTTCGAAGCTTCAAGTATGGCGATGGAGAAATACTCCTCTTTCAGCAAAAGCTCCAAGCAGTTTCTCCTCTCTGCTCCTGTTGAGAGTAGTAACAGTAGTTCTGATAAATGCTGTAATGGCAGAGCAGCGAAGTGCGAGCTTGTGGACTACGATTCACTGCCGGAGTTCCTAAAGGACAACGAGTACATCCTCAGCTACTACCGCTCTGAATGGCCTCTCAAGCAAACCATACTCAGCGTCTTCTCCATTCACAATGAGACTCTCAACATCTGGACGTAAGCACAATAGCGATTAACTAATTTCTTTTACATCCAATGCAAAAAGCATGAGCCTGATGATTAAAAGATTGGATTTTTAACAAAAATTTCTATTTTTTATTGAATTGCAGGCATTTGATTGGTTTCTTCATCTTCCTCATGCTCACTGGCTATGCTGCATCGATCTTCCCGGCGGTCAGCAATGCTGATGCTCAGTTGCAACTCAGTGCTGCGGGCAATTCTTCAAACATCTTTTACATCCACAGAGCAAATCAAACAACAGAGCCGACAGCGTCTTCCTCGTCGCAGCTGATAGGATCTGAGCTCCCCCGTTGGCCGTTCTATCTTTATCTTGCCGGAGCCATGTTCTGCTTGCTGATGAGCAGCGCCTGCCACCTCCTCTCCTGCCACTGTTCAAAAACAAGCTACATCATGCTGCGACTCGACTTCGCCGGAATCTCCGGCCTCATCGTCTCCTCCTTCTACCCTCTCGTCTACTACACCTTCACCTGCAATCCCTTCTTCCGAGACCTCTACCTCGCCTCCATCACTTTCTTCGGCCTCGCTACCGTAGTCGTCTCCCTCATGCCTGTGTTCGATTCCCCGCAGTTCCGGCCGGTCAGGGCGGTGCTGTTCGCGTGTATGGCGGCATCAGGGATGGTGCCCATCGCGCACAAGATGATGGCTTTCGGACACAGGCCGGAGGCGATGCTGACAACAGGGTATGAGATGCTGATGGGGATGTTTTATTTGGTCGGCGTGGTGGTCTATGCGGCGAGAGTGCCAGAACGGTGGTTGCCGGGGAAGTTCGACCTCGCCGGACACAGCCACCAGCTATTCCATGTGTTGGTGGTTGCAGGGGCTTACACGCACTATCTGGCTAGCCTGGTCTATCTTGGCTGGCGAGAGACCGAAGGATGCTAGCCAAGATTTGATTTTGGACCTTTAGCTGCGACCTTCCGAAACGGACTGCGCATTCAATGCGTCGAGGAAGAAGACGAAGAAAAAGCGTATGGAGTCGTAGCTAAAGTTCTATTGACCGATTATTTTATGTACAGATATTCATTCGTTTGTAACTATGATTTTTTTTATTTTTTCATCTGATTATAAAATTCATTCATTTAAATGAAAATATTGTTGCAAAGTATTTTATATTGATCTAATTGATCTCAAAGCTCATAGATCTAATTTAAAATGAGTGAAATATCAATTAATTTTTTGTTGCACTGATCTCAAAGCAGATTCAACAGATTAAAATTTTAATTAGGATATTATGGCTCAATTTTTTTTCTAAAAATAATAACTTTTAATACAAATTAGATTCTTTTGAAATTTAATTTTTTTTTATAAATAATTAAAGAAAAATAAACATTTTTATGTCAACATGTAACAACAAAACATGCCCCAATTAAATTAAAGATAATATGAACTCTGAATCTAACAAATTTATAGTCGAACTAAACTACTCAATGAAAAGAACTAATTTAAACTAAAAGTGATATGTTCCGAATCCAAATAAATCTAAATCACATACTTAAAAGTATAGTTAAAAATTTTGTTACATTATTTGAAGAATTACATGATCTATGAATCTGATATGCTTATATTCAAATTGAGCATCTCGACGAGACGAAACTTATTCTAAGATTGTTTAATTCAAACATCATTAATGCATTTAACAACTATAATCAAGAAAAAACAATATAAATCATCTCATAAGGTGGTCCTAATTTTAACTATATTTATTAACACAGCCGAATAAGCCTGTAATACTTTGTATCCCAAAACAAATCAAATCTCTACACGTGTACCTATTGAACCATCTATTAGCTATTTATAGGTCTCTGTACTTCTGAGAAAGTGAAATGAAATAATCCTCTTTCCAAGTTCTGTTTTCCTCTTTACCTTCGTCCGTACTCGTCTTCTTGCTTTCGTCTGTTCTCGGTTCTTGGATTTCTACATGGTATCAGGCCGTCCTTCCTCACCTGATCGGAAATGGCTACCTCTCAGTCCGATTCCTCAGCCATGGATACTTCCAACGGCACTCAAGCAGATACATCACAAATCTCTCAATCTCTTAAATTTGTGGTCTCAAATCTAAAAACTCTGGTTCCGAATCAACTCACATCCGACAACTACCCCATCTGGCGGCATCAAATTCTCAAGCTCCTCAGTGCAAACGACTTTGATCAATTTCTTGCCCCACCGACGACTCCGTCACCCTCCGCTGACGATCCAGGTAACACCACGCACAAGAACTGGCGGTTCATCGACCAGAACCTACAGGCGGCACTCTGCTCGACGATCTCTCCGTCGGTGCTCCCATACATTCTTCACCTGGATTCGACTCACGAAATCTGGCAACTTCTTCAGACCCAGTTTCAAGCCACCAGTAGATCCAAAGTGATCCAGCTCAAGAACGAGCTGCACAATGTATCTATGAAGAATCTCTCTATGATCCAGTATCTTACCGAGATCAAGAAACTCGTCGATCAGATTGCATCGGCTGGCTCCACCATCGACTCCGAGGACATCATCCTCTATATCATGAACGGCTTACCTCCGGCGTATCAATCGTTCAAGACTTACGTTCGCAACTCGCCGTATCCTATTCGCCTTGAAAATCTGTACGCTATGCTCATCAGCGAAGAGATTCATATCAATGCCGACGCTGCACGCATTCCTACTGACATCACTCAGCAGACGGCTCTCTACACACAACGCGGTCGGGGTCGCCGATCGAGAGGTCGTTCTCAACCATCCTCAAATCCCACGACTAAAACAAATCCTCAGCAACAACAACTACCTACATGTCAAATCTGCACCAAGAAGGGCCATACGGCAGACGTATGCTGGCATCGTATGAACGCCTCCTACACCCCGCAGCAAACCACTTCGAAACAGAACAACGCTCTCCTGGCAAATTCGGAAACCCAGCCCTTCGACTGGTACCTTGACTCCGGGGCATCCTCGCACATGACCAACACGGCAGAAAACCTCCATCATACAACCGCTTATCAGGGAAACGAAGGAGTATTCATCGGGGACGGAAGGAACATACCCATCGCCAACTCGGGCACGGGTATCCTTCCAACTCCGAGTCGTAAGCTTCACTTAACCAACTTACTTCATGTTCCTAATATCTCGCATAATTTACTATCCATCTCTCATCTTGTTAAAGATAACAATATCTCGATTACGTTTGATCCACTTGGTTTTGTGTTTAAGGATTTGATGACAAATCAGGAGCTTCTTCGCGGGCCATGTAGAGATGGGCTATACAAGCTTTCATCCAGGTCCGATTCTCTGCAACGAACATCTGCTCTTCAAGCGTCCAAGAAGACTGCAGCCGACTGGCATGATCGTTTAGGACATCCGCATCTTCGTGTTCTGCACAAAATAGCTCACAGTAATCCTAGTTTACACATTCAACATTCTTCTGATATTTCTTGTAGCACATGTATTCAGTGTAAAAGCCACAAATTACCCTTCGAGCTATCCAAAACAAGGTGTCAAACACCTCTGGAACTCGTGCACACCGATGTATGGGGACCGGCACCAACTATCTCTACTCAAGGCTATAGATTTTTTGTCATTTTTGTAGATGATTTTTCGCGATATACTTGGCTTTTTCCACTTATACATAAATCAGATGTGACTACAACCTTTATTCATTTTACTACACTTATTGAAAATCAGTTAAATCTTAAAATTAAAACTCTCCGGACCGACGGAGGTAAGGAATTCATCAATACGCAGATGCAGAATTTCCTACGATCCAAAGGCATTCAGCTTCAATCCTCTTGCCCCTACACACCTGAGCAGAACGGGGTCTCCGAACGCAAAAACAGACACATCCTGGAAACTACAAGAGCACTCATTCACAAGGCGTCCATTCCTGCGATCTACTGGCCCGAAGGTTGCAAAACAGCCACATATTTGATCAATCGCATGCCGTCGCCGAACACCTCAAACAAAGCACCTCTGCAACTCCTGTTCAACAAAATACCTGAGTACAATCATCTGAGGACATTCGGTTGCGAATGTTTTCCTCTACTTCCTCAACATATGCGAAACAAACTTCAACCAAAGTCTCAGTCATTCGTATTCATGGGCTACTCTGAAATACACAAAGGCTATATATGCCTCAACAGGGAATCTAATAAAAACTTTATCTCTCGTAATGTTATGTTTCTTGAACAATCTTTTCCCTTTGCCAAATCTACTCCATCTGTGCAGATTCAATCTCAGGTTACGTCTCCGGCTCTACTGCTTCCAACATCAAAAGCATTTGAACTTCATCCACGTCATTCGAATGAACACACAGACAATTCTACCGCTCCTACCGAAACCCAACACCAGAACTACTTACCCAGCCAGTCCGATACTCACTTGGATCCTACGTCCAGCACACATCAGCCGTGCGTAACGCAACCCGTCAAACACCCCATGGTAACCAGGCTACAAACTGGCTCACTTAAGCCAACTTGTCGTCTCAACCTTTTAGCCACAAATTCGTCGCCACAGGACCCTGATCCTACAAACTTCGCTGACGCAAATAAACATCCGGAATGGCGTCGGGCAATGGCTGAAGAGTTTATAGCGCTTCAAACTCAGGGAACGTGGCAGCTTATTCCCCCTCCTCCGAATGCATCTATCTTAGGATGCAAATGGACTTTTCGCAAGAAGTTCAATGCAGATGGATCCATAGCCCGGTACAAGGCTCGTTTGGTCGCGCAAGGTAACAGACAGGAACATGGAATCGACTACGACGAGACCTTTAGTCCGGTAGCAAAACTGCCGACTATCCGGATCCTATTCACTCTTGCTCTCTCCAAAGGGTGGACGGTACATCAACTGGACGTATCCAACGCGTTCCTCCACGGCCAACTCACGGATACCGTCTACATGGCGCAACCAAGGGGCTTCATAGACAACACTCACCCAAATCACGTATGCTGGCTTCAGAAATCTATCTACGGCCTTAAACAGGCTCCAAGACAATGGTACACGACATTTACGAATTATCTTCTAACGATCGGCTTCAAGCACAGCCAAGCTGATCCGTCACTTCTCACGAGCAACCAAGATCAGACACAAATCTTTCTCCTCGTGTATGTCGACGACATCCTCATTACAGGCAATAATCAAGATGCCATTCAAATTGTTCTCTCTAAACTAAACTCCAAATTCAATATGAAACACCTCGGACCGGCGCATCTCTTCCTCGGCATCAAAATTCAAAAGCTTCAAGATAAGTTTTTCTTGTCTCAATCTTCATACGCCACATCTATTTTAAACTCTGTTAAACTTACTGACTGCAATTCTCTTGCAAACCCATCATGTACTAAACTTCCGCTCCAAATTCCTGAAGACGAACTGCTGTCCGAGCCCAGCACTTACAGACGCCTCACCGGTGCATTACAATATCTGACGCTAACACGTCCAGATATCGCCTATGCTGTGAACGTTCTCTCTCAGCACATGCACGATCCTTCATCTCAACATATTTACCTCCTCAAGAGATTGCTGCGGTATATTAAAGGCACCCTGACATTCGGCTTACCTATTGCAAAGGCTCCACTCCAGCTCACGACATATTCGGACGCTGATTGGGCAAGCGATCCTACAACCCGGAAGTCCACGACGGGCTACTGCACATTCTTAGGCGAAACATTGATCTCATGGGCAGTCAAAAAGCAGACCACGGTCTCTCGGTCATCCACAGAGTCGGAGTATCGAGCACTCGCTGCAGCAATTGCGGATACAATATGGCTCAAGAGACTTCTCAACGATTTTCTCATCCCGCAGCATCAACCCGTTGATCTCTTCTGTGACAACATGTCAGCTATCGCCCTCGCACACAATCCAGTGTTTCACGCCAGAACCAAGCACATAGAGATTGATCACAGATTCGTTCGAGATCACATTCAAAATCAGGCTATTTGTCTTCTTCCAATCAGCACCACTCACCAAATCGCTGACATTTTAACAAAGCCTCTCTCCACTCCAAGGTTCAAGGAGCTACGGTTCAAACTGACCATTCGGGACGAAAGCTCAGTTTGACGGGGGCTATTAACACAGCCGAATAAGCCTGTAATACTTTGTATCCCAAAAAAAATCAAATCTCTACACGTGTACCTATTGAACCATCTATTAGCTATTTATAGGTCTCTGTACTTCTGAGAAAGTGAAAGGAAATAATCCTCTTTCCAAGTTCTGTTTTCCTATTTACCTTCGTCCGTACTCGTCTTCTTGCTTTCGTCTGTTCTCGGTTCTTGGATTTCTACAATATTTACCAAACAAATCACTCTCTATATCTTTTAATAGAGCTCCCACTCTCCACATGAAAAAGATTATTTTCTTTTTGTAGGTTGGAATTTGGTGGCTCTTATGGCTTCAATTCAGGTGATGGGGTTCTTCCTGCTGTTTTGTGTTGGTCATTATCTTCGTTTGCTTATTTTTGTTGGCTTCTTTTCTGTTGTTTTCAACTGTAATGGATAGAATCATTGTCTCATAAATTTTATTTCAAAGATTGTATTTTTAGAGAGCTCAAAGTTCTTTAAGAACTTAAAAGTTTTTAAATTATTAATACATATATATGCTCCTTCTTTGAATCATTGTTGTTGGACCGCCGATACTCGAACACCACAATCGAGCCTTCAATGCCAGAACATTGTCATTGATCCATCGCAACCCGACTATTGTTGTCAAATCGGCACAATCTAAACTACATCGATTAAAAAAAAAAAAAAAAATCGATGAATCATCACCATTATTAAACCTTGCCGAGCCACCATCGCTGTACTATCACTCCATTGTCGTCGGACAAAACAAATCCTTAGAAGTTTTCGGTAACCTTAGAAAGCTTCTTCTCAATTACTTGGCCGCCGTCTCCTATTATCTTGTCCAGGACTCTAATTCCCCTGTTCACAAACCCAAAAGGAACAATAAAATCCTCAGCTCTCTCTCTCTCTCTCTCTCTCGCGCGCGCGGGGGCGAGCTTGCAGCATCACCATTACGAATATTCAAGTATGAAGATGGAGAAATCCTCCTCCTTCAGCAAAGGCTCCACACAGTTTCTCCTCTCTGCTCCAGTTGATGGTGCTACTGTACTCAGAACTGTACTAGTGCTCCAGTTGAAATCAGAGACCTGTTACAATAACAACGAAGAAAATGTGCGAGCTTGTGGACTGCGATTCTGTTCCCGAGCTTCTAAAGCACAACGAGTTCATCGTGAACTACTGCCGTTCTGACTGGCAACTCAAGCAGACCATACTTAGCATCTTTAATCTCTATTCACAATGAGACCCTATGTTGCATCGATACGGATACAACGACGCGGATACAACACAATATAAATACGGTACACTCAATTCTTAAAAATACAGGATACAGGTACGGCGCGGACATGGTATTATAATTTATAAATCATACATAAAAATTAAGAAAGCAATCAAATCATAATATTTGAAATTACAACAAAAATGAAAGTAACATCATTTATAGTCTTGTAACTTATAATATCAAAATAAAAGTAAGCATTAACGTCTAGTACAACAACAAAAGCATAAACATAAATTGTCTAGCTCATGAGTTTTAACCATTGAATAGGAATGATATGATTAGTTTCTTCAGTGGTTTGTCTTCGAACTTCTACATCACCTTCAAAAAATATCATAACTTCTAATTCAAGCTCATCAAGTGAAATATTAACAATTTCTAATATTCTCATATTATCAAAAGACTTAAATTAATCTAGGAAATGAGAGAACCTCGCTTACAGCCATGAAATTAAATACGATGGTCTTTTTTTTGGGGTTTTATTTTCAATGGAGACGCGTATCAGATAAGTGTCCTTTTGAAATTAAATAGTATTTTAATTGGATACAGCAAAGCCGTATCCGACACATATCGGTACCATATCAGAGGCGTATCCATGTATCAATGTATTGGATACTGCACGCCTTCATAAATATATATAGGTGTATCGGTGCAACATAGGTCCTTGAGCATCTGGACGTGAGAACAATATCGATCAATTTGTTAATATTTTGCACATCCAATACCAAAATCCACAAAAAAAGATGGAATTTTTAACAAAAGTCTATATATGTTATTGAATTGCAGGCATCAGATTGGCTTCTTCATCTTCTTCATGCTCACTGCTTATGCTTCCTCGGGCTTCCCATCTATCAGTAAAGCAGATGATCCAATGTTCTGATTATCCCTTGGAGGCAATTCATCAATTAGAATTCATCAGATTCGTGATAATTTAGGGTTTAGGAGAAGTCCAGCAGCGGCGGCCTGATGGTGTAGATAAATCGGCGGTGGTGTCAGGATGGAGCTCCAAGATTCTTACAGCTTCATAGCTCTTCTCTTCTTCCTCCTATCTTTCCATATGAATTTATAATATGGAAAAGCTCCAGGGTTGATTTGGAGTGTTCTATCAGGAGATTCATAGTAATTATCTTGATCATAGAGTGTTTATCAAATATTTAGGTACTTTAATGATATTATAATTTGGTGATCTTATACTCGTTGGATTTGACTCGGCGAGCTGCTGGATTCGACTATAAGCATATCATATTTGGATATTGTTTGGTCATACAATTAATGCTTTGAAGCTTTCAAGAGTATTTTGTTCCTTTGATTTGGGCTCAAATTGAATTGAATTTGGTGTCATTGGGTTCGTATTCTCAAGAGATTCAAATTGACTATAAGCTTGCTTAAATCGGAGTTTGGATGATCCCGAATTTTAATTTAGAAATTCTCAATTCATATTTGCATAAAGATTCTTACCTCATCAAGATGATTTTTGTCGTCGTATCATTTTTAATAATTTTATGTATATTTTTATGTTAATATTTTTTAAACAAGCCGACTCCCGAGCTACAAAGTCGAGTTAGTCCACATTAAATTTGAATTGTTAGCTCATCGAGTTTGACTCACAAGTCATTTATAGAGTTGAGCTCAACTTGACTCATTTAAACCCCTAATTAGGGCATTTGAATGAGTTATACTAATTAATATGATTTGACCGGTAATTAAGTGAAAATTTTGGTTGAGGTTGTAACGCCGTTTACCCGAAGAAAATTCCGTGAACCCTCAAACACGCGCCAAAGAAATCTTCCAATATATTTCCGAGTCCAAGATCGACCAAGTATTTATTAGGTGGAAGAAACTGATGACAAATGCCTATTTTCTGCGTGTGAAGAAATTTAGAAAAAACAAACTGTCCGTTAATTAGACGTTAAGTCGGTTTATTTTTCTCTTATTGCGTCCTATCAAATTGATTTTTTTTCTCTTTAGATTGGCAAAATAACATTTCTCAATTCTTAATATATTGGGCTGAATCAGCCTTTCTCTTGAGGGAGAATAAATTTATTATATAAACAATTAAATATAAAAAAAATAAAAGATATAAAATACAAAATTGAAAGCAAAACCAATTATGTCATTATGACTGATCACAATGATGATAAGTTTTATAATTTATTTTACATTCTCTTTATAATTTTGTATTATAATTTCATTATAAATCAAATCAAATATGCATATATTTTTTATTTTAAGGGGCAACATCGGAACGAGCGAAAGGAGAGAGAGACAAGTTGATTGATACTGCGCTTACGTCCAGATATTGAGGGTCTCATTATGAACAGAGAAGATGCTGAGTATGGTTTGCTTGAGTGGCCATTCAGAGCGGTAGTAGCTGACGATGAACTCGTTGTGCTTCAGGAATTCTGGAAGAGAATCGTAGTCCACCAGGTCAAGCTTTGCTCTTTTGTTATTTGGAGCAGAGAGCAGAAACTGTGTGGAGCTCTTGGTGAAAGATGAAGATTTCTTCATCTTCATACTTGAAGCTGCCATTGTTGTCGCTTCCAGACACATCTTCTCTTACTGATACTGCTGTAGAGTTGCAGTCGTTTTAGAGAGAGAAGCAGAGCTCTGTATTCAGTTGGTTTTGGCTAGAACAAGAGGGGAGTGTTGGAGAAGAGTAGTTTATCAAATATTTAAGTGCTTTAATGATTTTCTTACTACTTTTTAAAGCAGTTTTATATATTTTTTTTACTAAAAAAAATAAAAAAACTGTCCGGAACTAAACTTTAATGAGTTCTAAAAAAAAAATTTTTAAAGTTTTTAAAAAAAAAAAAAAAAAAAAAAAAACTAGTGAAAACGGTCCGTTAACGTAGGAAGAAGTAGACAATTCCAGTCAAGGAGTTCAAAGTTTGAAGCGCTGCCCAGACGCTTTCTACGCTTTCTGTTTACACCCTGGCCCTAATTTCCAAGTCATCAGCTTCCTTTTTTCCTCCATAACTTCGCCGCCGTCTCCCATTATATATATGCTCTCTCGCCTGCTCTTCTCCTTCAAGTTAATTTCCCTGCCCTCAATCCGAGAGAAACAGGAGAATCCCGGCCAACTCTCTCTCTCCCTCTCTCGATCTCGTACAGGGTAACATCAAGAGAAGATGTGTTTCGATGAATCAGCAATGAAGATGGCGAAATCCTCCTTCCTCAGCAAAAGCTCCTCGCAGTTTCTCCTCGCTGCTCCGGTTGACAGTACTAGAAGTACTAAATGCTGTACTGACAAAGCAGCCAAGTTTGAGCTGGTGGATTACGATTCTCTTCCCGAGTTCCTGAAGCACAACCAGTTCATCATCAACTACTACCGCTCTGAATGGCCTCTGAAGCAAACACTACTCAGCATCTTCTCCATACACAATGAGACTCTTAACATCTGGACGTAAGCGCAATATCAATCAATCAACTGGTTATACCAAAACCAACATAAAAGATCGATTTTTTAACAAAACTCTGCATACTCTATTGAACTGCAGGCATCTGATTGGTTTCTTCATCTTCCTCATCCTCGCCGGCTATGCCGCATCCGTCTTCCCAGTTGACAGCAACGCTTATCCCCTGTTCCAACTCAATACTTTAGGGATTTCATCAAACGGCTTCTATATCCATATATCAAATCAAACAACAGAGACAGCTAATTTGGAGCCAGTGGGATCTGTAGTTTCCCGTTGGCCGTTCTACCTCTACCTCGCCGGCGCCATGTTCTGCCTGCTGATGAGCAGCGCCTGCCACCTCCTCTCCTGCCACTGCTCGAGAACAAGTTACATCATGCTCCGACTCGATTTTGCCGGAATCTCGGGCCTCATCGTGTCTTCCTACTACCCAATCGTCTACTACAGCTTCACCTGCAGTCCTTTAATCCGCGACCTCTACCTAGCCTTGTTCACGACCTTCGGTCTCGTTACCGTCGTCATATCGCTCATGCCGGTGTTCGATTCCCCGCAGTTCCGGCCGGTCAGGGCGGTTCTGTTCGCTTCCATAGCGGCGTCAGTGGTGGTGCCAATCGCCCACAAGATGATAGCTTTTGGGGACCGGCCGGAGGCGGTGCTGACGACGAGATATGAGGCTGTGATGATGCTGTGTTATGGGGTAGGGGTGGTGGTCTACGCGGCGAGAGTACCAGAGAGGTGGCTGCCGGGGAAGTTCGACCTCGCCGGACATAGCCATCAGCTGTTTCATGTGCTGGTGGTTGCAGGGGCTTACACGCACTATCTAGCGAGTGTGGTGTATCTTCAATGGAGAGAGGCCGAAGGATGTTAGCTAAGTTTGATTTCAGGACCTTCGCTGCAGCCTTCCAAAATGGACTGCGCCAACAAATTGGAGAAGAAATACTTTTGTATAACAAATTTAAAAAATAAGTGCTAAGGAGACAAATAAAAAATATTTTTGTCCGCATTAATTATATATATAATGTTATTATTTAGATTTTATTTCATTTAAAAATTTATAATTATTTGATCAAAATGTTATTTGTTTAAATATATTCCCTGGTGGATTTTTTTAAATTACAATTTCTCTTTAAAAAAAAAAAAAAAACTACTATTTCTCTTTCTAAATTTTCATATTTTAAAATTATTACATATAATTATTTTATTACAAATATTATTAAATATATTTTTTCAATATAAATAATATGAAAATCATTCATTCAATAAATTTGCTTACATTTGAGACTAGCCGATAATTTTCGTCAGAGCATCACCATGTAAGGAGGTGATAATAGAACAGTCCTAAAGCTGACAGTTACTACTATGCTTTACTAGGTTATTAGTGGTTCGGGTTTGGGTTGAATTTTTTTACCCATTTAATAAATGAGTCAGACTCCATTAACTGGATTTATGTGGGGTCAATTTCGGGTCGGTCCCAAATCCAACCTATCAACCTACTTGACACCCCTAATTTTACGTGTGACATAACAATCATTTCTAATTAATTGTCTTCTAACTTCTTTGAAGAATTAGTTTTCATTAAATTAATAGATTCATAAGGAATTTTATTTGGTATAGATGTAATTAGAATTAAGGAAGAGGTTCATTAAGAAGCATTAGTTTTGTTACATCCTAGATTATTCGCATCAGTAGATAAATATATATAATTTAACATCTTAATTTTGTATAAAGATTTAGCACGGATGCAAATAAAAAGATAGGGTGTAGCATTCATAAGGCACACAAAGATTTTTACATAGAAAATCCTAAAAAGAGAAAACCCACAGGGTCTGGCCCAGTTTGAATGAATCCACTAGTACTTGTAGTTTATTACAAATGAGGCCCTTCCATGGGGGGAAAGGTCAAGGCTTTATGTAACAAATATACATCATATGGAGTGTGTTACATGGTGAAAATAGGAAGAATCATAGTTTATGTGTTTGTTTGGTCCGAAGGACTATAGTCTGCGGGAGATAGGGGTCAAAAGGACTGTAGTCAGCGGGCGACGTAGGTCAAAAAAACAATTGTCTGGCATTAGAGGTCAGAAGGACCGTAGTTGGCAGGCGACAAAGGTCAGAAGGACTGTGGTCGGTGGGCGACAAAGGTCGGAAACTCCGTTGTCTGGTGAAGGAGGTCGGAAGGATCGTTGTCTAGCGACAGAGGTCGAAAGGATTGTTGACGGGCGGATGTTCGGTATTGTGTAGAAATCCGAAGATGAGCTGAAGCTCGACATTAGGCAAAAGTTTAAAGATGGACGGAAATTTGGCATCAGATAGAAGTCTGACGGAAGTTCGGCGTCAGGTAAAAGACCAATGAAAGTCCAGTGACGGGCAGAAGTCCGATGTTGGATAGAACTTCGGTGATGGGCGGAAGTCCAGCGTCGGGTAGAAGTCAGACGAAAGTCTGACATCTTGTAGAATTCCGATGACTAGTACAAGTCCAGTGACTGGTGGAAGTTTGGTGTCGGGTAGAAATCTGACGATGGGCGAAAGTCTGACATCGGGTACAAGTTAGACGAAAGCCTAACAATGGGGCAGAACTCGGTTGACTAGTGGAAGTCCGGTGTCGGGTAGAAATATGAAGATAAGCAAAAGTTTGACGTCGGGTAGAAGTCCGATGAAAGTCTGGCTACAGACAAAAGTCTGGCGTCAGGTACAATTTCAACGATGGGTAGCAGTCGGGTTACAGTCGGTGGCCGGGTGAAAGTCCGGTGGCGACCGAGGAGGAGTTTGATGGCAAGAGAACTCATCATTCTATTCCTTCTCTTCTTCCTTGGCCCCCTTTTTCCTCCATGGGGGTCCCTTTCTATGAGAAACGAAGGATCTCTTTACAATTTTCTGAGAGTGACATGAAAAGTAAATATGAGAGAGATCAAGGGTAATTTGGGAATGATTTGAATGGAGGACTTATGTAGATTTCCTCGATCATGAACTGTTTATTTGGTATTTGAATGTCTTAATGATATCAAAATTCAGATATCTTAGGCTCGTTGGATTCTTCTCATCAAGCCACTCGGGGTAATTTGGGAATGATTTGAATGGAGGACTTATGTAGATTTCCTCGATCATGAACTGTTTATTTGGTATTTGAATGTCTTAATGATATCAAAATTCAGATATCTTAGGCTCGTTGGATTCTTCTCATCGAGCCACTCGATTTAACTATAAGTATGTCATATTTGAAAACCATATGGTAATCCAAATTATGGTTTGAACATTCCAAATGAGCTTCGGGTCTTTGATTTGGATCCATTTGGATTCAGATTGAGTCGAATTTGGTGTCGTTGGGTTTGTATTTCCGAGACATTCAGTTTGATTATAAGTTTGCTGAAATCAGAGTTCAAATGGTTTCCGATTTAATTTTTGAAGTTTTCAATTTGATTTTGCGTTGATATTTGTGCCCCAAAGATAATTATTTCAAGATATATCAAGTTTTAATTAAATTAATGTCATAAATAAGAAATTCTGTTTGGACCATAGCGTATACACATTGAAGGTCCAATTTGGTGGGCCGACAAAGATTTTCTGCAATAAACGCTGAATAAGAATACAAATTAAAAAAATTAAAAAATAATAAATGACAAAATCTGAGTAAATGATGTCCTAATGGCAATAAATAGAACTGAATATATTAGCTTTCAAACTTCAATGAAAAATCAAAAAATTAATATATTATTTGTTACATATAATATTTATCTCCAAATAATTAAAATAATTTCAAATTCATCTTTATATAAATTATATCTGGCTGACATAATTTTTTACACAATAAGGCTTCGTTTGAGACGACTTTCTTACTGCTTCATAAAGTTGCTTTAAGAAGCAGGAAGAAAGTCGTCTGAAACGAAGCATAAAGTTCAAAGGTAAATGTCAAACCTTGCAATTATGTAATCATATGTACATGAGCGGAGTCAAGCTCAAGTCATTCCTAGTTTGAGCTTGAGCTCAAGCTTTCCTCAGCAAGTTCGAGTAGCCTCATGAGCTGGCTTCTTGTTTACTATGAAAGAGAGAAAATAATTATGATTTAAGGGCTATTTGGTTTGTTAAAAAAAGAAAACAATGTAAAAAGAATAATTTGAAATTGTTTGGATAAGTGTAAATTCAGTTAAATGTTTTTTTTAATGTAGTGTAAAGTTTTAAAATGGCGGTCGACAGTAATGGCCGAAGAAGAGTGCCGGCGGCAGTGGCTAGCTGGTGGCGACGATGATTGATGGTGATCAAGCAAGCTTGTTTGAGGAGTAAAGCGTTCTTGCTCAAAACTGACGAGTTTGATTTAGCTAAAAAATGAACTAGAATTGTTTATAGTACATTTACTTTACTTTATTTTGAATTCATTTTTCATTAAATAAACATTAAAATTATTCAAAATCTTATATTTGAAATAGCCCCTTAGATAATTATTATAAAAAATGATAAAAATTTAAAAATTAAAATAAAATAATTAAAAATAACTTAATATCAAAAGTGATATATAATTTTTAAATATTTTTAATAATCTTGTAAACAAAAAACAAAATAAAACCAGCATAAATAAACAAAAATCATTTAAATAAAGCCCATAAAAATTCAAAGTAGAAAAACTATAAAAAAGTGAAAGTTGGACCATCTTCAACATTTTACATTTGTTTACCGGACTTGCAGCGCAACTTGCACGAAGCCCAGTGTGAAAACAGTCACAGATTTTAATTTTAATTTTTTTTTTTTTTTTTGGGAATCAGTCGCTTCTCATAGGAAATATGAAAAGTGTCGATTTTGATTGAAAATAGATTATAATATAATTAACTTTTGCTTCTTCTTCCTCCTCACCGGAACATCGACAGCCAAAGGTCTGAAATTAGCTAGCATCCTTCGACCTCTCTCCAGCCAAGATACACCAGACTCCCTAGATACTGCGTGTAAGCCCCTGCAACCACCAACACATGGAAAAGTTGATGGCTTTGTCCGGCAAGATCGAACTTCCCCGGCAGCCACCTTTCCGGAACTCTGGCCACGTAAATTACCACCCCGACCACATAAAACATCCCCATCACTGCTTCATATCCCGTCGTCAGCACCGCCTCCGGCCTGTGTCCGAAAGCCATCATCTTGTGGGCGATGGGCACCACCCCTGACGCCGCCATGCAAGCGAACAGCACCGCCCTGACAGGCCGGAACTGCGCGGAATCAAACACCGGCGTGAGAGAGATAATGACGGTAGCGAGGCCGAAGAAAGTGATGGAGGCTAGGTAGAGGTCGCGGAAGAAGGGGTTGCAGGTGAAGGTGTAGTACACGAGAGGGTAGAAGGAAGACACTATCAGGCCGGATATTCCGGCGAAATCTAGGCGGAGCATGATGTAGCTTGTTCTGTGGCAGTGGCAAGAGAGGAGGTGGCAGGCGCTGCTCATCAGCAGGCAGAACATGGCGCCGGCGAGGTAGAGATAGAACGGCCAACGGGGGATCACGAATCCTACCAGCTGCGAAGAGGAAGAAGCTGATGATTCTATTAACGTTCGTTGTGCTCTGTCGATATAAAAGGTGTTTGTTGAATTGAGTTGCAACAGGGGATAAGCATTACTAGCAGTCGGGAAGACCGAAGCAGCAAAGCCGGTGAGCATGAGGAAGATGAAGAAACCAATCAAATGCCTGCAATTCAATAAAATATATAGAACTTTTTGTTAAAAAATCAATCTTTTATGTTGGTTTTAGTATTGGATGGGCAAGAAATGAACAAGTTGATTGATACTGCGCTTACGTCCAGATATTGAGGGTCTCATTATGAACAGAGAAGATGCTGAGTATGGTTTGCTTGAGTGGCCATTCAGAGCGGTAGTGGCTGACGATGAACTCGTTGTGCTTCAGGAATTCTGGAAGAGAATCGTAGTCCACCAGCTCAAGCTTTGCTGTTTTGTTATTTGGAGCAGAGAGCAGAAACTGTGTGGAGCTCTTGGTGAAAGATGAAGATTTCTTCATCTTCATAGCTGAAGCTGCCATTGTTGTCGCTTCCAGACACATCTTCTCTTACTGATACTGTTGCAGAGCTGCAGTCGCTTTAGAGAGAGAAACAGAGCTCTGTATTCAGTTGGTTTTGGCTAGAACAAGAGGGGAGTGTTGGAGAAGAGTAGTGGGGAAGGTTATGAATTTATAGGATTCAGATTTAGAAGATGGTAATTATTGAAGGAAATTAACTGTTATTTAGGTGAGATTATTCTGTGCGGACGCAGGACGGAAGAACCATTCGATACCGCGCTCGTACCGCTTGGTACCGAGCGCGGTATCGAACAGTACTGATGCTTGGTACTGAGTGTGGTAAACTTTCGGGGTGACATGGCATATTTTTATTGGTCTCTGGACGACATCCGTACCTAATAATTTGCCGTTATTATTTATTTTGGGCTAATTATCAGCTCTTAAGCAACTGTGGATTATATTGTTTTAGAAGGTTAGGGTGTATTTGGGTCTCAGCTTTGAACAGGAAACGGTCGTATGTGGTGTGATGAGAAACTAATATTTTAATTAAATTATCAAAATTGCAGCTTTCCACTCTCACGAACAACTGTACTGACAGCAACAAACTAAATAATCAGCCACCGTTCATAGCTAACAAACCTTGAAATCTCAGCTCTACACGTGGATAGCTATTTATATATAAATCCTGTAATGAGGAAAAAATATTCTGTCTGAAGTCTAGACCCCAATAAAAACGCGCCACGGTACCGAGTTAGTACCCAGCGATATTTGATACTCTTCCACTCGATACCTAAGCGTAAATTGAACCGTCCAGTATTCTTACAGAATAATCTGTCTATAATGAGATGACTAGGGTATGCAGAACTCTTATATTAAAATATGCTATAGTTTTCCTTTCTCTGTTACACTTCTTTGATTAGCTCATACACTGCATAGCGAGCACTGTCTTTATTTAGAAAAATTATTAGGTGCGGAGTTTGCACTGTCCGCACAAATATGAATATTGGTACCCAGCGGTACTCAGCGGTACCGAGTGCCGGTACCTATCGCGGAATAAGCCTTGTGCGGATGGTTCTCCCCGTCCGCACTCCGCACCTAATAATCTCTCCTTTATTTATGACTATCATAGAAATTATATATTATTTCACTGCATGATATTTTATTTTAAAGAAAGAAATATTTGACATAAGGGTTTAAAGTTCATAAGGTTCATACTTAGGCTTTCTTTAAAGCAGTTTAAGGTTTTATTTTGGGACAATTTTTTTACTATATATATTTTAAATCAAATATTTAATTCAATTTAAAAAAAAAATAACTAAAAAGCAATAGTAAAAAACAGTCTCAAATGAAGCTTAAGATTTTCTATTTTTGCTTTTAAAAGCTTCTTTCTCAACTACAAATTAAATTATTTTTTTCAAAAGTAACTTTTTATAGTCGAAAGTTTAAAATAACAATGAAAAAATTATCTTCTAAAAATATATATTATTTTTATTAATTATTTTTTTACCACAAAAACAGTCGAAAAGCTGTTTCAAACAAATCCTTACCCTTAAGAGATTACTTCAATGAGTGGGAAGAAATAAATCCCACAAAGCATTAAAATTCCTAATATATCATTTGACTTATCATTCCATTGTATTTTTATCATGCTAACTAAGGTAATCTTCAAATTTTGCCCAATATTATTCAAAACATAATAGCCTTAATGACACAACAATGATGTATTTATATATGTCAAATTCAATTTAATTTTTATAAGTACAATATTATTTAAATCATTTATGAATATGAGAAAATGAGAGTTCTATAAATTTATTGGTAGACAGTGGGAAAAAGAAAATTTCGAGAATTTAGGACATTAGAGGGGGAAAATAGGGATTTTAAGAGTCCGGCTGCCCTAGAGGTAGGGGTGTCAATTTCGGGTCACGGGTCGGGTTTGGGTCGAACCCGAAGCTGACCTGGCACTATTCGAGTCAACCCTAATCTGACCCATTTTTCAAAACGGGACAGTTTTCCTGACCCGCTTCAGGTCCGGGTCAACCCGACACGACCCGAATGACCTGTTTTCAAAAAAAAAAATTACTAGTTTTCGGGTCAAAACGGGTCTATCTCCTCTTTTTCTGGTAAAAACGGGTCAAAATCGGGTCAATCTTGGGTTACCGTGTCAAAATTGGGTTTTCGGGTCAATTTCGGGTTAAAGGGTTAACGACCCGATTTTTAAAACCGGTCGAAATGTTGAACCCGAACCCGAAATTATTTGATCGGGTTCGAGTCGAATTTTCGGGTCGTGTCAAATATTGACACCCCTACCTAGAGGAGAACATAATAGTTATTAATCGAGGGATAATGAGCACCTGTCTCAGCTGCCACATAGTTTCACTCTGCATATAAATGGCTTATATTAATTAATATGATTGATTTGAAATTAAAATTAACTCTCCGTGAATAATATTGGCCAAATTTTTTATCAATATCATTTGGAAGCCATCCCAAACGAAGCCTAAATTAAATCTGTAACTACCCTTGTACTCACTTATGTCAATATTGGGCATAAAATTTTGAGATATGTTTATTTCTTTCCACATACAATAACACAATTTGAAAATCTCATTTAAATAACAAAATTGCATCATATCCTTTGTTATTTAGACAACTCAATAGTTTTCAACAAGTTTTTGTTAGAAGGAGAGCATTTTTTTCTATGAAATCTGATAAAAATTCTATAATATAAGACTTTGGCTATGAAAATGATCAATTTTTTTATGATAGAATAAAAGAGATAAAATAAAATAAAATAAATATCCATTATAAATTTTTATGGATAAAATTCCAATCAACTAATGACAAATGATTCTATCCTTTTAAATGCTTAATAATCCCACCCTCTCTTTATTTTCCTCATTATTGCATTTTTGGTTCATTTTCACTCATTTTATACAAATCATTATATTTGAAGTATTTCAAACATAATTAAAAATAATATTATTTTTAATTATTATACTCATTTTTTGCTAGTTTTTTTTTTTTTGAAGAATCAAAATAATTCTCAATTATATTAAATTATCAATTTGATCCCTTAACTCTTTAATAATGATTAAATTAGTCTTTCAGTAAGACCATTTAGATCTCTACTTAAAAGTCCAAGCGACTAAAGATGTGAATTTTAAATAGTTAGGGAACTTTTTTGGTTCTTGATAAAGAGTTAAGGGATTATTTTGATCATTTTCTCTTTTAAATAATAAAATCTAATAAATTCATCATTTTTTTTATATTTTAAATTTTCAAGTAATTAAATGTTTCAACAACTGCGATTGACAGAAGTGAAAATTATTTCACCTACATAAATTGACCACAGTTTAGTTCAATGAATCCATTCAACAAGAAAAAAAAAATCAATATATTAAATGAAAAAATAAGGAATTTCTTACTTCATTAGTCAACTATTCACCCAACCATCTTTGTCTGAATCAGCAACTGTACTTCACATAAATGTCAAAACTTTGACTTTTGATTTATCTAGCTAAGACCATTTTTTTCAATTTTATGGTGCTATAAATCCAATTATTTTATTTTTACGTAGAAATGTTCATAGTTTGTGAAATATTGACCTTATTTATCTTCTAAATTTTATGATTAAGGATCTGTTTGGAATAGATGTAGGCTTTGTTTGAGACAGCTTTCTTAAAGCTTTTCAAAACAGTTTTTTACTTAAAAAGTTTCTTGAATTAAAAATTTTTGTACTAGAAAGCTATTTTAGAAAGCAATGAAAAAGCTGTCTCAAACGAACCCGTAGTGTTTATTTATGTTGATTGTGAAGTTGTTGTAAGCAAAATGACTTATACTCCGCTTGGTACAACTTTCGTACTATTTTGTAAAGCAGGTTCCTAACACAAAAAATTCAATTTAAAAAAAATTACAGTACTAGAAAATTGCTTTATAAAGCAGTAAGAAAGCTGTCCCAAAGGAAGCCTTAATTAATTTGGTTGTAAAAATTAGATTTCCATCATAAAAATCTTTCAAAAATAGTGAGAAAATAAGTAGAAATTTTTAGTCTACCAAAATTATGATTGATGTCTGAAAAATAAAATAGTAAAAAAGTTATCCTAAACAAGAGTTAATTTTTATAATAAATAAGAAATAGAGAGAGTTAATTACATTCTAAGCATTAATTTTGTTTTGAAATGTGATAGTGTAATGGGCCCCAAAGAGTGTTGTAGCTCACCTATCTTGAAAGAGAAGTTTGACTCACTTCATTGGGACATGTCATGGAGGAAGAAAAATAAAAAAAAATAAAAAAAAATATGTCATGGAGGAAGAAAGTTTTGACCTTGTAATTAAGAGCTTTGTAATTTTTTTTCTCATTTATTGAATCTCTTTCCCATTCTCTTGACATAAATTAACTTGACTTTTGTATTATTTATAATTTAATATTATCGTCTTTAGTATGTTTTTCATCTTTCTCTCTCTCTTCCATTTTATTTTGGATATACATATTTTAAAGAAATAATAATCAAATATGCCGTTTCAACTACATAAATTTCTGAAAAGCAATAAGAAAGAAATATCTAAGAAAAAATATAATAGTGATATGAAAAGTTTAGTGATCAGAAAGCTGCTTTTAAGAAATCTTTAGTTTAATCCGATCATATTGCTATTGAGTATAGTTTGATCTGAATTTAGCATAAAGCTTGGCCCTTGATTTTCATGAAGAATAGACTTAGTTGGTCCCGACTCCCGGGCATATTTACTTCTATGTCTAAAGATGATGGTGCAAATTTCATCCCCTCAATTCATGACGCAGCTCAATTTGTTCTATTGATTGAGAGCTTCGACTGCAAACTAAGAGGCGTTGAGTTCGAAGCTTACGTATGTGATGTGTGCATGAATTTGTCTTAATTGACTGAGAAGTCAAAAAAAATATTGATAATAAATAAACATTTGAGCATTTATATATTTAATTTTTTAATTCATCATCTTGCACCTCTATCTCTCTACACCTTTTATGCCTTTCCTTTTTAAGTCTTGATTAAT